GAAGAATGCAACAATAACAGGGTGCATAGCCAAATTTTTCAACAAAAAATAAGCACCTTTTAAGCACTACATATATTAACAAAATGCAATGTAATTTTCAAAGACTTCACATGATAATGATAAAATAACCAGTTTCTGACAAAGAACTCTTATCTTGATTATATTAACCATTATAAAAAGATCAAGAGGTTTTTCGATTCGATATCTGAGGGTGGAAAATGAAGCCTGAAATCAAGAATATCTTGCAAAATGCAGCAGAGTTGCACATGAGAGTGCAAGAATCTCACCGAGCCCAGCTCAGTATATTCACATACGAATCCAAAAGTATTTCGTCAAATATGTAAAATGATTGGCACTTTCATGCGCTACGGGCCGACGGGACGCCGAAATAGATTGTGGTTGAATTTATTGTGAAAACGTTTAATAGAACAATGTGTAAAGCACGCTTTTGAACAATACATGTCGAAAATCGATATGGTAAAGAAAATAAATATTATTTTCGAAAAGGGAAAATTAAGCACTTTTTAAAAACACCCATTAAAAAAAGCACTTTTAAAGGCTTTTAGAAAATAAAATCAAAAATAAGCACCTTTAAGCACTTTTCAAAAACTCTACGCACCATGAATAAAAGGAAATTATTAGTTTTAACAACAGGGTTATTATAAAATACTTGCTCATTATCATTTTTGCTATTTACAGCCACAATGACTGCATTATATTTCTATCTTGTAGAGAACAAGGGATTATGGAGTATTTCTAAAGATAATCAGAGATATATTTATATTCATTTAACTTTTATCATCCTTTTTAGCGTTTTAAAATTTTATATTGCTGCGAATTTTTTTCAAAGCATAAAAAATTTAAACACTTATATTAATTTTAGTTAATTTACTAATTCAAGATAAAAGTTTTTTAATACATTTAAGATATTTTCAGCTATGTTTAGCTTTAAAAAAATTTTGTTTCATTCTTGTAATAAAAATTTTAAAGTTTAAACTAAGGAAAAAAAAAATTTAGAAATTATATGAAGTTAAAATTTTTTTAAAATCAAATTCATTTTAATAATAATAATGAAAAAAAATATTTTTCTGCAGTAAAAACATATTTTGTTAATGTTTTGTCGATAACTAATAATTTTGACAAACCGGAGATAAAAGTTGTTCAAATTTACAATTTCAGATCAATTGCTGCAATTATAGTTTGAGCTGATACTCTTTCACCAAATTTCAACATCACATCTACAAATGAATTATTCTATTACTCAAAATTACACTCTGTTATGAGAAAGACTTCAAAAAATCATAAAATTGATAATTTTCTTTCATGAATTTGCTTAATGAGGCAATAGCTGAAAAATTAATTAACAATACTGCAATATTATTTAACAAACTGGACTGATAAAGTTGTATTGTGATTAAAGGTATGCAAAAGAGAAAGCATAAATAGAAATATTGTAAATAAATATTTATTGAACGAGCTTCTAGCACAGAGTTTCAAAAATTAATAATTTATTGAATTTTCAATTCTTATGAACAGCTAATTTGAAGATATTACATTCTGTTAAACGTTGTAATTAAATATTACTAATTAGAACTTAATGCTTCTAATTAAAGGAAAGTTTCAGACAGAAAATACAACTTAATGTTATGATAAAAAAAAATCGAAATTCTGTAATTATTCAATTTTTAAAACCATGTCACCCTTTATGTCACCATGCTGTTAAAACATCTGCAACAGGCACAAAAATCATGCGTATTTTACGTGAGGTTTAAAAGACGACTTTGACAATCATTGCAATCTTATAACATTATTCTTAATATACATTGTTCAACTTTTTTCTATTTAAGGGCAAAATACTGAGATGATTTTTAGAATTGAAGTTCAATTTGTTGCTAAAAAAGTGTCACATGCTTGTTTCAGAAATATTACTTAAGTCGAAATTTTTAAAATGATTGAATCAAATTTTAAAATTTTTATTATTTGAATCTTTATCTTATTTTTCACATTGTTGCAGAAATGCAACAAACCAATTTTTCTATAAATTTTTATTATTTGAATCTTCATCTTATTTTTTACATTGTTGCAGAAATGCAACAAACCAATTTTTCTATAAATTTTTAATTTTACTATGAAATTTATTATTATTTTTATGAGCTTAAAATTATGTATTCTAATGTATTAGCAATTTTTTTCAAATTGTTGATGGGTGTTGAGATAAAAAGGTTTGAAATATCTCTGGAAAATGAAGTTTTGAAATAACAAATATCTATAATTCAAGACTTTTTTAATTACTACATCTTCTTAAAATAGTAAATAAGTTAATGGCTCATGTAAAAAGGCTATTTTTGTTCTTGATAAATTGAGTTAATTTTTTAACATTCAATGTAATTATTTTACTGTAGTTACCCTATTATTAAATGATGGAAGTAGTATTTGCAAGTTTATTCTTTTTTTTTCCTAATATATTTTACAGCATGTTTTTAAAAAAGAATTACGTTTGATTTTTTTTCCTCTTAAAGGGTCACATTACCAGCAGGATAATTTCTTTTTTTAATAAACAAAAAATTTTTCGGAGACTTTATATGCACATTTAATTAACGATCAATAATTTCCAACAAAGTAAAGGGTAATACTTGGTGCTATGTAAACTAAAGCAAAAAAAAAAAAAAAAAAAAAAAAAAAAAAAAAAAAATGAATAAAGCACACACTAAAATGTTTTAGCTTTAAATGTTGAAAAAAGCTTTTTGAAATGTCTTATGCTTTAATTAATAATTTGTTTCCAAAAATTAAAAATATAGTTCAGTTTGTTTTTAAATTTAAAAAAAAAATTTAACTTGGAAAATTTCTACATTTTTTTTAATTTTTTGCATATTTTTCAAAACTTTTTTTGCCTTATAGTTGCTATGATCACTGCTAAAATTCTTTGCACTCATTTGCTTACATAATAATTAGAACATTTTCTATAATTAATACTACAAATAATCAAAAAAATATATTAATAACTCTGGTACATCAAGCTGTAAAAATCTTAATGATTTTTAGAATATCATTAGAAATGCACAGTTTATCATAATGACTATTTTCACTTCAAAGCTTTATTTTTAATTGAAAAGACCATTAGGAATTCAAATAACATGTAAATACCATGAAAGAGAGAAGATGGGCTTTTGCTGGAAAATCCAGTTTTTTTTCTTTCTTAAAATAGTTTTTGATAGCATTTTTAACCTCTGAGTTAGACAAATTTTATGGCAATTATTCTTTAAATAATGCTGATAGAGATATAAACTTTTTTTCATATTTTTTTTTGAATTGCTTAAAAATTTAATATCAGCAATAAAATTTTTACAATTCATTCAAATTACATAGACAATTTTTCTATATCTACAAGTTACAAAAAAAAATAAAAATAAACATATTAGTAAAAAAGTAATCTAAAATTCTAAATAGATGCAAACATGATAGTTTTTCTTTATTGACTAAAACTATAAACTAGTTTTTTACACAATGTAATTTTGGGATAGAAATAATAGGTAAATACAAATTTAAAACATTTAGTTATTGACTACAAATAAAGTTAAAAAAAAAATATGAAAAAAAAGTATGTTTTAAAAAGAAGAGAGTTTAAATTGAGAATAAGAGAAGCAGAATTTTCATGTTGTTATAAATGATATGATATTATAAACAATATTTTATAAAATTATCAGACAATGAGGGAAAAAAAAAGAATATATTAATTGTGAAAATAGTATTTTTTATTGCAACCACAGCACTGGAAAAATATTAGCTAAAACATTGCAATGTTGAAGTTAGAGGTATGTTTAAATTAAATAGAAATGAGAGGGAAAAAATATGCACACTAAGATTAAAGTATCAGTTTGAATTCAAGGTCAGGAAGAAATTTAATGCACAAAGAGTATGAAAGTAAAAATACTTTCAACTACTATTTTTTCAACATTGTTTATTGAAAAAAATTTAAACACCAAATTTTGATCATTCCACCATTTTTTTTTTTAATAAGAAGTGCTCCAAAATTATTTTTTGAATTTCATGTAATTTATGTTAAAACAAAAATTTGATGTATTCTGAACTATCAACTTATACCAAAAGAAAATTCTGATAGTTTAAAGACTATGTGGCAAATCTAAATAAATTTTTTTTAAAGTGAAAAGTTCTTTCTTCTTTCCTTAGGGCTACAAACAAATAGGCATTCTTCATAAACTGTATAAGGACACAGTTGCACCATATAGGTTGCTATCTGGTTAAAAACTTAGGGAAACATGTATTTAATCCATATAAGTAAGAAACTGTGATGGTTTGTAGATTAAAAATTTTTTTTCATGTGCATTTTTGATAATTCATGTTTACATTATGAAAAAAAAATCGTTTTTCAATTAACAAAAATTTTGATCATTATTGTTGACCTTAAAAGAAAAATGCATAAATATAAGGGATAATATCAATTATGAAAATTCAAGCTTTAACAATGAACATTTTTCTATAACTATTACTTAATAAAAATTCCAACATTTTTCTAAAACTATTACTTAATAAAAATTCCAATTATTTTAATAAATATTATTTAATAAAATAATTAGAAAAATAATGAAACAGTGATCTCTAATCTTTTTTTCTCCAAGAACAGGTCAATGTAATTTTAAAGCTATTCGCAGGGGGTCCAGATTTTAGATTGTTTTGACTAAAAAAAATTTAATTTAATTGTATTTACACATGTCCTCAAAATAAAATACAATAACATGCACGATATTGGTGCCGCCTATCAGCTCCCAGTTAACCTCTCGTCAATCGAAAGTCTAACAAACCCGAAAGAAATACATCACAATAAATAAAATGGAAATAATTTAATGTTCCTTTGGTTGCCAGGTACCATTTGAACCATAAACCAATATCAGTCTAGGGGTTGGAGACCATAGTATTAAAATACATAATACAATAATCAAATAAACATAGAAAAATTATTTGTATTAATTTATTTTTATTACCAGCATAGGCACTTGAAATATTCTCATCTTCTTCTGCTATGTCCATAGCAACTGATTCCAGTTCTGCAATATGGGAGGTGATTTGATTAGTTAAAAATATCTGGAAAAATGAAAAGTTTTGAGTTTTCATTTTACAAACTAAAGGGGAAACAAATTGTTTACATAACTAAATGATGCTGGAAAAAAATTTTTGATTATTAGATTAAAGAGGTTTATCTATTTTAGGACAATTTCTTTCACACACAAATATAAAGTAGAATCTGAATAAATATCTGATGGTTATAACGCATGTGATAATCGGAATAATTTTAAAACAGTGCAAATTTCTGCATGTTCGAATTTCTGAATATTTAGTTCAACTACAAAATAATAATAAACAGTTAGCATAAACGGAAAGTTCTTTTTAATTTGGAAGAAGTTAGCATGCCAAATAAAAAGACTTTGAGTGTAACTTATAGCATGGGTGCAGCAGGTTACGAAAGGGTACAATGAAATCAAATATTAAGGCTACAATGCAAAAGAAAATATAAATATTTTTTACATTATTTAAATAATCAAATAAAACAATTCCATTAACTAGTTTGATTGTGTTAAAAATTTTAATTTTCTACTATACAAGGAAGTTTTTAAAATAAGTTCAACTTCGTCAGAAAACTACTGAATCAAATATAGCAGATTTTGATAGTCAAATTATGCAAAATTTAACAAGAAAATTTGGTTTTAATTGTAACATTTTCTCAAAAAGCAAATGATAAACAATTAAAGAGTACATAAGAAAACTGGACTTAGTATGAAAGTTTTTTGGTAATAGGGATATTTTTTTTTAATCAATTATAAAAATATCTGACATAATATTAAGAAATTAAATGGAAAACAATTAGAGAATTCATCAAAAATTTCTCTTAGTGAAAGCAATTTGGCTTTATTGATTTTGAAAGAGTTTGCAATAAATTATTTAAAATTGTACAAACAAATTTACAATGAATATATTTGTTTTAAAGTTTTTCCGTCCTGAATCTTTTTCATAGGGTAGAATAAATGTTTGGGATATTTAGAGCAATTTTTAATCAATAAAGAGCTTTTTTTTTTACAATTATATTTTGATAATAAACGTATTGAGGAAAGACATTCATAAAAAAAAAAAACTAAACTGATAAGGAAAGAAGAGCATGTAAACATTACAAATCAATAGAAATTGTTTTTTTTTTCCCTTCAGTACATACATATGATTAAAGAAAAAGTCATAATTTACAGCAAAATAACCATTTATACATTTATGACTTACCACAATATCATAAGCTTGAGCTAAATTTTTTAACAAAGCAGCTTGCTCCATAAGTATATTATTTCGTTGAATTAAACTTCCTAACTGTTCACCGCCAAATTCTTTTCTCACTAATGAGGCAATAGAATCTATTATTACAACTCTGACTTTATTTCGTATAATTTCTCTTTCTAGATTTGGAATGCTGAAATGTAACAATAGAATAAAATTAAAAAAATATATAAAAAAGGTAGAACATAAAAAAGTTTTTAACTAGGAAATTTTAATTTTTACTTTTCTTAATACAACGTAAAAGCTAACATGAAATTTTGAATATTGAAACAGTTTAAATTTCATCAATATCAAGCAAAATATATAACTGGTAAAAAGATATTTACTACACATAATTAAACTATAATACTTCCATATAATTATTATTCTAATGACTTTCATAAGGGCTCAATTATGATACAGATTTATATATTATTTAAAGAGCACAAAGGAAAAAAAATTGTAAATTTTAAATTTTTTTTTTTAAAAATGTTTTTAATTTATAACATTTTCGTGATTAAAAAAATTTAAAGAACAAAGAGAAAAATTCCTTTTTATCTTTTTGTTTGAGTAAGACAATCGAAAAATAAGATGAAACTGGGATGTTAAGATAAATTTTTTTTTTAAAAGGTTAAAAAACTAAATTTATTATAAAAAGTAAAATTTGTAGTTTGGTATTTATTGCACACATTTTTAAAAAATATTAAAAATGTGTGAAATAAAGCATAAGGAAAACAAATTTTATGCTTCTTTTTGATATGCATGGAAATTATACAATTTTGGTGATTAAAACCATTTAAAGATTAATGAGAAAAATTCTATTTTATTCGAGTAAGACAATCTAAAATAAGTTGAAAGTAGTATGTTAAAACACTATTTTTTTTTAAAAGGTTAAAAAATTGTAATTTATTATAAAAAGTAGAATTTGTAGTTTGGTACTGATTGCCCTCATTTTTAAAAAATATTAAAAATGTGGGCAATTCAGCATAAAGAAAACTAATTATAAGTTTTGTATTTCTTTTCATAATGTTTGGAAATTATAAAATTTTTGATATTAAAAAATTAAAAATAAGAAAAGAGGAAAAATAATTAAAAATTTAATAAATTTTTCATTTTTAATTAGAAAAACTAAAATAAGAGAAAACTAATACATTAAAATACTTTTTTTTCTTTATAAAAATTATTACTATATTTACTTTTATTATTACTTATTTATTTACTATAAAAAGTAAAATCTGTTGATTGATAGTAATGCTAAATTTTATTTGAAAAGAATAAATATCTTTAAAATATAAAAAGAAAGAATAAACATGCATACCAAAAGAATAAATATCAATTTCATCTTAGATAAAAATATGGCAGTTCTTTTTTTTTTTACTTTAAAAATGTATTAGTTTTTTTTAATGCAGGTTCAATATAAATAAACAGCATTACATTGGTCTCTTATATAATTTTTTAATAGTTTTAACACCATGAAAAAGCATAGAAATTATGAATACAAAGTATAGATTTAATGAAACATACATATTGCAGTATATACATTCAAAATATACATATTGCAGTACATGGGTCTACTTTGATACTTACATTTCTCTTAAGGCATCAATACAAGATGCTTTATACACCATAATGCTTTGTAAAAGATTGGCTAAATTTTGGTCATCTTTATACAAATGAGGGAACTTTTTTTGAGCCATAGTTTTAATCCTAGAATAAAGTAAGAAATTTAACAAATTGTTACTATTTTTGAATAAGGTGTTTTTTTAAAATTTTTTTTGTTTTTAAAATGTAAAAGAATAAAAATTAAATAATAATAGGTAACAATGGGGCATTGAAATAACCTACTGAATAGTTTCAAATTAAGTTTTTATTTTATTTTACACATAAGTGCTACAAATTACATTTCAAACAAATAATTGTAAAATTCTTGTAAATAATGTAGTTATGCACTACTTAAAATTTGTACTTAAAGCATGAAATCGAAAGTACAGAAGAGTTTCTTACACACAGGAAAAAAAATGCACGTCAGTATTTTTTATGTGAAAAAATGTTTAACATTTTAATTATATGAAATTAAAATGTTAAACTTGTTAAAAATTTGTTAAATGTTAAATATTTTTCTCAAATAACTGAAATTCCTCCCAAAAACTATTAAAAGCTTATAAAATTTAAAAAATTAACACACATAATTATATTTTGCATTAACATAAGCTATCACAAAAACTTATTTCAATATAATTGATACATTCATAATTCTATAAATTATTATTCAATATAAGTGTATAGTATCATCCCCTCCCCCCCAGGAGAATCTGAACTCTGATTGAAACCCCTAAAACATATATATTAAAAAAAAATCATAAAATAAATACAATAAAATTGCAAAAAAAAAAAAAAAAAAACTTACTTGCAAGAAGGATGGCATTTTAGTAATTGCTTGCAAATTTTATCACAAATAAATTGAAAATAAGTAAATTATTGTGACACTTGATTATTAAGGTGGTTGATTAAGTCAAAATTTCAAGTCCAAAAATGTCGCTACTTTGCCTACATATTTAGCAATAAAATTCACGGCCAAATCAAAGAATATTTAGGTCACTCAGAATGTGGGCTAAAATATCCTTTTTTTCAAGTGAAACAGATTTTTTTTTTAAAGCAAAAATAGTAAAAAAAAAATTCAGTTTGTGGGCTTAAAAATGTAAAGTTTAGATTGAATGTACGCTCTTGGATGCTTAATTGTAACTCAAAGTACAACTTCAGCTCAAGTTTATTGTTTCAGCTTTAGTCTAGAATTAAAAAAATTTTTTTTTTCCTGTATATTTAAATATACTTTTTCATTTGAACAACAGTTTTATTAAAACCTATAGTTCTGATCTTTCAAAATTTTCTAATTTCATAGATTTGTTAGCAATGTATAAATAGAAAATTTATATTAATCTTTTCACAGCGAAATAGACCCCACTTCAATTTTCTATTCATATTTACCTAAAAAAATTGTAAGTTAACTTCTTAATATATGTCAACAACTGTATTTTAGCAAAAGTGGATGCGTTTACCGCAGGGAATGATAAAATGAATGATAGAATGATAAATGAATGATAAAAAGGGAATGATCCTTTAAAAAAAGTATGAAAAGCAAATGAGAGAGCAGCATAGCTGTTAGAGGTGATCATACATCTCATTAGACATGTCTTTCTCAGATTGACAGGGTACAGTTTGCTCCAATTTGTTTTACCACAAATATTATATCATAGGATTTCCATATATATTATATCAAAAAATAAGATTCAGATCTTAATGTACTTCTGGGAAACATAAATAATATATTTCATACATATTTATACTCGGAAACAGCTAAAAAAAATTTTAAATTAAGAAGGGTGTTTTGCGATACAATCTATTAATTATATTGAACATTAGAGACATTTTTTAAAGTAGATTTTTAAATTTTTAATCAAGAATACTTTGATCAGAAAAAAATTAAAAGAAAAATGCATACCTGTCAGCACTAAAGGCTGATTCTGTATCTATATATATCACTTTTGAGCTTAATCCTCCAGCAGATGAAGGCAGCACAGATAAAATACTCAACATGAAACAGAACTGAGTTTTTCCAACACCAGGTGGGCCTGCAAACTGTTAGAATAGAAAATATATTTTCAAATATTTTATAACTATATATCTATTTTATAACTGTTTCTATTTAAGTATAATGAAACTTTTTAGGCAATATTATTAACATTTTATAAGCTGAAACTGAACTTATTGGAGGGAATATTTTTGATTATTGGAAGACATAATCTACAGATGTTTTTTATCTTTTAGAGGAAAAATACATATAAATGTATTTTTTTAAATACAGCTTGTAAAAAAAATAATTATACATTTATTGGTATGGGCAGTTAGTTAATGAAATGGCTATTGATGATTACATACAATTTTTTTCATTCCAGAAATATTTTATATTTCATAATTATTTTTAAAAAAGATTAACATTTTAACTGAAATGTTTCTAATCTTTCTGCTTTCATACATTATAAGTCTGTTTATATAAATATATCGGTGTAGGTCTCAATAAATTTTTCTTTTTTTTCTATAATTATTTTAACATTTAATATTTAGAGGAAAATAACATAGCAATCTCTCTTAATATACCTAAGTATTTTATGTTATAAGTAAATTTAGTTAAAAAAAAAGGGCTCAGAATTTTATTTTTGTTGAATTTTAGGGCAAATTTCATGCAATACGAAATTTTTGAAAAGGAAAAAAATGTGGTTATTTTTGCTTAAACTTATACATTTAAACTTATGACTAAATGATAATTTGTAGTTTTACAGTGTATTTTCCATTCTAATTTTTTTTTTACTGAATAGTAAATGATATCAAGGAAAATTTTTATAAAACTAGCTAGTTTAATTGAGATAATTTTTTTTTATGCCTAAAATTAATATTAGAATTATTTCTATCGATCAGAATAATTTCTTGCAAAGAAATGTTAGTCAATAGAGCTTTAAGTTTTTTTAGACTTTTACTTTTTCATTAACAGTCATTGTAAAATTAATATTGAAATATAATATGTTTAATATAAATCCTTTTAATTTTAAGTATTATAAAGCTATAATTTGCTAATAGCTTTATAATACTTAGAATTGGACTTGGGTGAGCAAAGTTGTAAAAAAAGATTGAAGGTTTTAAAATTAAAAAACTAGAACCAGATATAAAATTCAGAATACATTTTTTATTGCATGTAACATATCTGTAACTTAAATTTTTAGGTTTCAGATAAAATATAGAATGCAATTTATAAATCTTTCGTTGCTAATTATTGTACTAAAATAAGAAATTTTTTTAAAAAATTAATGTAACTAATAACGGCTATTAATTTAATAACCAACTTTTGGTTGTATCTCAATCCCAATAATCAATCACAACACGAAATTAAAGATAATTAGTTTTTAAAAAATAAATTTACTACAATAACATATAAGAATTAATTGTATACCGAAAAATATTAACGTAGGACAAGTTCAAATTTACTTTTAGAGAAAATAACAATGACTTATTACTTTAAGCTACATGAACTTCAAAGACCTTTAGGTTTTTTGTGAGCTTGTGATATTTTTCAATAAATCAATGATTATGTAATCTTAGATAAACGAAAGGAAAAGTTGATAAAAAAACATTTCAAATTTTAATGTTTAATATCAAACAGAAAGCTAGCATCTTCATTAACTCAAAAATTTTTTTAAGATTTTTTGTTGTTGATAAATTTGTTGTCCCACAAAAGAATGTTTCTTAAGAATCATATGGTATTTTCATAAATGCAGAGAGCTTGCAACAATCATTCATGAGTGTTAGGCTAAGTTTACTCTATCAAAAGTCATCACCCTCTATGCTAATTCTAAAAATGGCAATAAATGCCAATATGAAGAAAAGCATTTCTTTGTAAAAATGAAAAGCGTTTATGGTATAATTTTTTTTTTAATATTTAAAAATTACTCCAACATTATCTATTACATTATCTGAGCTCAGATTTTTAAAAATTAAGATTTGGTCATTAATTTTGATAATTTTCATCTAGATGGAAAAAGTTTTGCCAAATGGGTAACTTATAAAAAAAAATTTAATATATTTAAAAAAAATAATTTTTTATTAAAAGCCCAGATGGTACCTTATGGCCAGAATTAATTATAGCATTGCTTCAAGTGTAAGATACCTAAACTTGTTTTTTATCCCCTTAGTAGTTTAATAGTATTCATAAAATACAGTTAAATTACTGAGCTCACATTGGGAAGAGGCACAACCAGTAATTTTTGTTATTAAATACAAGCCTAAATAGTTCGTTAAACATAATCGAAACAAGTACTTCAGTGATACATCCAAATGGTAAGCCACCTTGTAGTAATAAGTCTAAAGAATGGAGAGATAAAGGCAGAAATCCAGTGGAGGACAAAGACTTTTGCTTCAGATACATGTCATAAGCCTATAAAAAATTTCAAGGAGGCATAAGAATAAAAAAATATTTTTTAAAAGCATTTATGAACTATTTTAGAACAGTTAGCGTCATTTACCATAAGAGGTTGAACTAATTTATAGTTTTTCTTCTTTTTCACATGAGATTAAATATACATTTTAATTTAAAATAAATGCTAAGAAAGCTAGCAAGAAGAGATTTGTTTGATGTATACTTTAACTGTAGTTATGTAAAATGATATTAAAAAAAATGTAGACACATACCACATAATTGATTAATAAGTAAAACAAATTTAATCTCTTATAACTAGATTTGTGTTTATACAAGTTACATCAAATAAAAAAATATTTTTACATGCTCAAAACTATGAATTCAATTTTCTAAGAATCTTTGATTAATGAATCACAGTTAATTTGCCATAATAAATCACACTTTCCTCTTCTTTTTTTTAATATTATGGTTACTAATATTTTTATACTATATTATAATAAAAATGTTGTAAAAACCAACATTTGATCCAAGTACAATATAACTGAGAATTTTATTATCTGACCACATAAAATAAGAAAACTCAATTTTAATTTCTGCTATAAAAAGGAGCAATATTTTCTGTATTTGAATATTTCAGTATAATTTTACAAGGGTACCATCTGCAATATTAAGAACTTGAGAAACTTCATTATGCACAACAGTGAAAAAAAGAAGGTAATAATGTCTTCTTCTTCCTTATCCCCAAAGATAGCAGGGCTAAACAATGTCCATGAAACTCATGACCTGGAAGAAGTCGACCACCAAAAGTGGGTTATTCAGAATGTCCCCTTTGTCCACACCAAGACAGGCCAGGATATGTTGGTGAGAAGTGTGCAAGCTGTGCCACCTGGGGCAGTTTGGGTAGGTTTTAACACTTAATAAGGTAGATGCAATGTAGAATAGACAAATAACAAAATAAAAACATTTTATTCACAAAGTTGCAAAGTGATTGCTACTATTGATTATTTGACCCCCATAATTATGCACAGCAGTGAAAAGGTAATAAAGTAGAATAGACAGATAACAGTTTATTCATGTAAATTGTTAAGTGGAATCTATTATTGACTATTGGACCCTCCATAATTATGCTAAGGAGTGAAAATAAAGTAATAAATTATAATGGACAGATTATAAAAGAAAAACATTTTATTCACATGAATTGCAAACAAGGATCTATTAACTATTTGACTCTCCATAATTATGCAAATTAGTGAAAAGAAGGTAATAAAGTAGAATAGACAGATAACAAAATAAAAATATTTTATTCATATGAGTTGTGAAGTGGAATCTATTATTGACTATTTGACTCTACATCATTATGCAAAGGAGTTAAAAGAAAGTAATACATTAAAATAGATAGATTACAAAAGAAAAACATTTTATTTACATGAGTTGGAAAGAGGGATCTATTATTGACCACTTGATCGAAAAAAAAAATGATCTTTAAGTTTTCTAATATTTTTAATCACTAATGACATTTTTCAGAATAATAAAAAAATAAACTTGTCAACACCCATTAAGAAGTTCAACTATTAAACTAATTTTAAGTAAATGTGAATAGAAAATTGAAGTGGGGTCTATTTCGCTGTGTGAAGATTAATATAAATTTTAAATTTACATTGCTATGAAATTAGCTATGAAATAAGAAAATTTTGAAAGATCGGAACTACAGGTTGTAATAAAACTGTTGTTCAAATGAAAAAGTATATTTAAATAAACAGAATTTTTTATTTCATTTCTAGACTTAAGCTGAAACAATAAACTTAAAGAAATGACAAAAGAAAACATATTTACATAATTTAAATGACACTTCCACAAAATATTATGTTGTCATTCCCTGGGAAGGATTGGTACGAAGTCTTTTTCTTCTTAATGCGCCAGATGGCGTTCTTTTTAAATTTGTATGCATTTTTTTGCTTTTTGTTAATAAACCTTTACTTTCTGTCTGAATCTTGATCCACAGACTACATATCACTTATATTCCTGGACTTTATAATTTCTTGAATTTTATTTTAATTTCTTTAGAAATGGCAACTTTACAGTTATTAAACAGCAATTAAATAGTAATCAAAATAGAGAGATTGCTCGAAAAAATCTTTAACTTACAGTATTTGGTTGAGAGACACACTTTGCTGCAACTTCATTCAATATTTCTTCTGCTTTAGATCGGTTTATGCCAAGTATAGTCTGAAATTCTAACTTGGTAAGAGTTAAAACATCCTAAAATATAACATAAGCTATGAAGATAAAACTATTAGAATAAATGCAGGTAACTAACAAACTTTATATTAAACAGACAATGCAGAAGCTAGGATATGTAATGTTGTGCCAAGAAGCAATTTGATTTTAAGTTATAACTAAAGCAGTGTTCTGCTTAAGCATTTTTAGATGGACAGTCCACTCTGTCTGCCCTCTTTGTAAAAATAAGCCACTATGCCTTAAAAACACTGCATTTTCATTCATATTCCATTTTAAAAAAGAATAATTTACTTATTGTTAATTACTATTTAATATTGTTAATTCACTGGTAAAATTTTCTGTTCATAGCTCTAATTCTGATTATTATTAAAATTATTTACTTTATTAGGATTATTCTCAACTGGTTAAATTTTCATTAGTTTCTTTTTTTCCGGGTGGGAATATATTAATGAATTTTTTAAATTATTTTATATTTAAAAATTATTTTTGAAATAAATACCAAATTTTTTTTTAAATGCACCTTTAAATGTTCATTTTCTCATAATTTTAAGTTCAAAATGTAGAAAAAAGTTTTCAAGTTGTTTATTAACTAATAATTTTTTTAGCTTATTTCTTTTGGAAAACAATTTGTGCAGTAATTACTTTTTATAAACTACAAATTTTTATTTTGATAATGCACAATGGGCTATTGCCGACGATCTGGGAAACTTTCCTGAGGATGATTCAAAGACAAGTCATCACAATTTTGATCCTCTGCAGAGGGGATGGCACCCCCGCTTCTGTAGCCTTACGACCTGCATACGAAATCAAGCACTTTATGGTAGAACAGTTTAACAAGGACAAATATCGCACACCCTCGGTCCCTACGCAGATTGATCCAAATGGTCACCCACCCACGCACTGACCGCAGCCAGTGATGCTTGACTTTGGTGATCTGCTGGGAATCGTGTCTTAACAATCAGTCCACTGCAGGACATATTATTAGTATGAGGAAAAGGGAAAAAATATAATAGTTATCCATTAGAAATATTTGAGATAAATACAAAAAAACTGACGAACAGCTATATATATAAACTGAAGTTGTAAAGTTGACTCAAAACAAAAATTTAATGCTAAACATAATAATTTTTGAAAAAGAGTATCCATAAAACATTAAAAAAACAAACATAGTCTGTCAAAAATGCTTTTAAAATTACTATGTTATCATAAAAACAGAAGGAAATTTTAAAGCTGAACATATTATTACTGCATTTTCAATAAAAAGTGAAGAACAAATGAATAAAGCTTAATAGAAACTTGATGTGTTATAATAAAAATGTCAGTGTAAGTTTTTTAAAAGAGAAAAAGTCAGATAGAAACCAAAACTAAAACTTAAGTTTTAAATGAAAAGTTTAATGCTAAAAATCTAAATTTTATTTTTTCACATTTATTTTTAGACAAATGTGACGATAAATGAATTTAGTGTATTAGAAAAGCTCTGTCATACCATTTTGTGTTATAATAAAAATGCGGAAAATAAAAATGTTAATAAAAAATGTTTTCTGCATAAAAAATGTTTTTTTTTTGTACTTTTAATAAAAATAATGACTAATGTTGTTTTTTATACTTAAAATACATAATGTAAATTTAAAATAACATAAACCATTAAAATATACAGAACATTTTAGAAGATTACTGTATCAGCATCTCCGCTAAAAAAATTGTCAAGTTTTGGCAGGAACAGGTATCGACATGAAGCAGTTGGGCGTATGATCAACATGGGTGCATGTCTCTTTCAATAACTAGATATCTTTAGAAGTCTCTCTCAATATTTCAGACAAATAAAGGAAGCTTTAACAAATTATCAATGATTTAAATTCATCGAAGTTTAAAGGAGAAAGAGATAAAAATCAGGGGTCTGTCCAGACATTTTGTGAAAGGTCCGTTTTTCGTGAAATTGTGAAAAAATTACTCACATTCTTTCAACCAGGGTCCGCTTTTATGAATTTGTGCAAATAGGGTCCGTTATTGCAAAAAAAACTTTTTCAAGGAGTTTTTGAATTGTAAAGACATACGAGATTATGCTCAATACTGTAAAATTATAATTAAAAAAATTAAATTTTAAAAAATAAACAACAATTGCTGTTTCTAAATTAGCGATGCAACATACAAATATTTGGCATTTAGCCTATACTGCTGAACGCAGAATATTCATTTCGGACGAATAATGGAAGAATCGTCTGCCGAAGACAAAACTTAATTCGTTTATATCCATCTTTCTTGTTTTCTGCCCTGGAAAGGGTTTATTCGATTAACAAAATTATAATGAACATAAACAAATTTGTGAAGGGTCCGATTAAAAGAAAAATCATTTTGTGAAGGGTCCGTTTTTAAGTTAAAATATTTTGTGAAGGGTCCGTTTTTATGAAAAGATATTTTGTGAAGGGTCCGTTAATGGACCCAAATTTCTTCTAAACAGACCCCTGAAAATAATCAATCTATTTTTGAAAATATTTAGTAGGTATAGAATTTTCTTCATGTGTGAAATTTAGAGAGCTATTGTAATTGTCTATTTTAATATGACTTCCATAAAAATAGGAACTCTGCGAAGCTCATCAGTATCGATACGACATATCCCCCAAAATTCCCACTCCTATATGATTTTTTTTTCCAAAACAGTAAAAAAAATGTTCATGATAAAAATGTACAAATTGCTAGCAAATTAAGGGGAGTTTTCCATATTGTAATCTGTGGCAGAATAATCATCAAGTCTTGGCAACTTCCAGTCAGCGGAACAGAAGAAGCTAAAAAATAAACATCACAGAAAGGGATTACCTCAAAAGGTATAACTCATAACCATCTCCTGGCAAACATCTACATGTTCTTTTTTTTAAAAAAAATTTGCAAGTTTAAATACTATTAGGCGATTGTAGTTGACTACGACGATATCCCCCTACGACATATCACGATACGGAAATATCCCCAACTCAAGACTTCAAATGAACATTCAATCATTAGTAATAATAAATTAAAGATGTTAACAAAAACACAAATACGAAAGTAAGTCAAACTGGTATTAAACAAAACTATAAAAGAAATTTGAACATGTTAGAAACACTAACAAGAATAATCTTGTTCTTATTTTAAAATACCTTGCAAGAAAATAAATTATTTTTTTCAAGAACATCAATAATATTCTGTGGAATTCGCAACCGGCGAATCTTATAGGAACCCATAGTATGGAACAAATATTATAACGTATAAGTATTAAAAATATTTAATACACAAAACAAGTACAGAATACCAGAATCATATTTAATTTCATAAAAACGAGTGTATTATTAATTTTAACATCGACAACCGTCAAAATTCCTCAAAAAGAACAACCAAAGCGCCAACAAATGATTCATTGATTGTTTATACGATGAAACAGGAAAAGCTTTTGGTTGTTTTTTTCTGCCGAATAGATGGCTATTTTACTTTTTTTTTAAAGGACCATTCTCATTACAGTACGCGCTAGCAACACTCGAATACGCCATCTGGGGAGAAGACTGGTTGCATGTCTTAACCCTTCCGCCTTTCTCTTCTCAGTTGTATAGGAATGTACTATGATATTTTCCCCCTTCTTTCCATTTTTCGCATTTAATTGTCAAAAATATTTTTTTAAAACTTCCGCGACACTGTCTCTGAGAACTATTTTCAATGCAGTTTTTAGTTCTATACAGTTCCCTAACGTAAATGTTTTTTTAAATCTATTTTAGATCAAGACAGAAACTAACGTACTTCTATGACTACCCACACATTAATTGTTATTGATGTGAGAGAAACGAACGAATCAATATTTTAATCAACTCTTTTTTGTGAATAGATTCATTAAGTTAGTTTGGAAATTTTTTTTTTCCTTAAAAAGTTTTCCTTCAGAGTTGTTCAGAGTTAGTACTTTAATTAACTGTATAATTGTTTCAAATCGTTTTAATGCAATGCATGTGAATTGAACGATTTCGATGCTGTGAAAATTGCATGAATATTTGAATGCGTGTGGAATTCCGAGAATACTGAAACAATCTGGGTTATAGTTCAAATATAATAAAAAGGTTTTCAAATTTTTAATTCCCCATTGTCAAGCATGCTCAATTTTAGCAATAAAATTTTTGATTAAAAGTGGCTCTATATGACCTTAAATATATTAATGAGCCCTTAAAGGCATAATTAGAAAAACGTAAAGTTAAAATTTTTAAATATGCAATGATAAATATCTTGAAATTTCCAAAACAAAATTTAAAATCTATCCTAAATTTTACTATACCATCAGGTTTCTAATATGATAGATATATTTACCGGCAAACATAAGTGTTTGAATAATGTTATAGAAATATGACTAGGAAAGAATTGCGACCAATAAGCTGTGGGTAATAAACATATATGGCAACGTTACTTTTAAAAAGTAACGAGTAGAAGTACAAGTATTTTTAAAAAAAGTAACGAGTAAAAAGTAAAAAGTTCTTATTTAAAAAAGTAACGAGTAAAAAGTACAAGTAAAAGTACAAGTACTGAACAAAAAAAGTAACGATTTAAAAGTACATTTCTAGGAAATCGAAAATTCAAAGTAACCTAAAATTTTATTGAATAATATTCTTATGTTCTTTAATGTTTTTGCAAAATTGTTGTTATTTATTTAATTATTTTTAATTTTGAAAGTTATGGACATTAATTTATTTTTAAATTCGGAAGAATATTATAATATAATTTTATAATATAATCGTATAATATAATTTTAAAATCAAATATAATTTTAATATCAAACTTTTTATGGATTTGCACGAAAAAGAAATTTTATCTATTGATTTTAATTTTTAGTTTATTATTTTTATTTATTTAAATTACCATTGATTTAAAATTGTTTTACTCTATAGAAACGCGTTTTAAAAGCACAAACATAAACAAAGCAAACACGGGGTTTCAGATAGCTTTGTGATCTTTGAGCTAGTAAAAAATAATTGAATGTGCAGTATAAGTTGAAACAGAAGGTATTTAAACACGAAGTTAGCTGTGAATGCATATATATTGCACATTAATTTTATAAATTAAAAAAACATAAGCATTTTTTTTAAATTTAATTTTTTGTTTTTTTAGAAAGCTTACCGAGTTTTAGAAAAAAGTAACGATTTCATTCGATATTTCCGTTACAAATACTTGTACTTTTTCCCTAAAAAAGTAACGAAAGTACAAGTAAAAGTACTAAATTTAAAAAGTAACGAAGTACATAAAAGTATACGTACTTTTTACTTGTACCGGCGGTACAAGTAACGAAAGTAAAAGTACTGCCATATATGGTAATAAATATGGTCATAGAAAGCATTTTAATAGGGGTAATAAATAAAGCATAGAAAGTATTTTAACTTAGAGAAACTAAAGCCAAATATTTTTAATTTGACCCATCCTGATTGATTCCATTGTATACATTGCTATGTTTCTAGTCTAAAGTAAAAGCTAATTCTTAAAATAGAGATACTGTTCGTTTCCGAAGGGAAGATACTATACGATTTTCATCGAGAATAGGTAATTAGTTGGATTGCGTACTTCCTGTGGTACGCGCGGCGCACGACGACTTTATTCTAGTTTCACCCATGCTTTTATGAAATCGGAGCAGACCTGATGCGCAAATGTCCGGAATGTTTACCGGTAAGAAATACACATTACTACCATTCTAGACAGAGGTAAACTAAACTTTTTTTTAATAAATAATAATAAAAAAAATGAATTGCGTGTATTAAACTCTATTGATTATAAATCTACTCTTCACTGTTTTTATTTTATGAAAGACTTACGTATTCCAATTCTTAAATTAAAAAATCGAACGCTCAAAACTAATTGAAATTCGTTTAAATAGTCTTAACATAATTTTTAAATTCAGTTTGTTTAAATTGTACCAATTGTATTTTTGCGAATTTTTAACGAAAGTAAGCTGAACTGAGTTAACTTTATGCTTTACTTTTTTCTCAAATTAATATTAATTTATATTTTATACAATGTATTTTAAGCATAACCAAAATTTTATGTGTTCATAACATATCGATATTAAAATGCCCAAACTCATGAACAGACTGAATTAAAATAAACAAAGTTTTTGAGTATATTTTCAGCACAATAAAGTATTAAATGCTATTTTTTAAACGTCTACTAGATACGAAAGCTTCCTGTAACTTTTTCATTAGAATATAATATCATTGGTGAACGTTTACATAATTTTGAAACTGTTTCACCGAAATGCCGCAATGAACTGGCATTCAACGGATGCTTTCTATGCATTACGGGGACATCGATCTGCAACAGGAAAGTGTGCAGGTGTGGATCGGAAGTTTCGAAACGACTGGGGGAGTGTGTGGCATGAAGTGGAGGTGGTAGACTGCCGTTCTGCTTTCGCTTCGTGTTTCATATTCATTCAGCCGTTTCGGAACTTCTCGATTCATGCGTGCAAGTTTCTGCCGTTGAACAATGTTCTCATACTGCGTAGAAAGTTTAACGTTAAATCTCAGTGATTGCAGCATTTTTCGATTGTAGAATGCGAACTTATAAGCTTTTTCATTAATACGGACTGCGCGGTAATTTAGTATAACAGAAATAAAATTATGGCAATACATAAATATGCAACAATATGCCAGACACAGATTTGGCAGAAATTCTGAATTTGCGTTCGAATAATTTAAAGCTTTAAGTAAAAGCAAATAAAATTCAATTTTAATGAATAAAGTAATATTTTGTAATCTAAAATAGAGTAATATTTTATTTAGTATTCGAGTGGAAAAAATTACTTTGTATTCAAAAACTTATTCGCACATTTGCTTAAAGGTTGCTAAAATTTTTAGAAAAAAAGTTTAAACCGGATCTATTATTCTTTTGGATAAAATTACATTGTGCTGGATGTAGAAAATATCTTTTTTTCAAATTAAAACGTGGATTTTGTAAATTAAATATATTTTAAATATTTACTTTGAATGCTTAATTTAGTATTATTATTCATATAGTTTAGTTCTTTTATATCAAGTTGTTGTAATTGTTTTTCCATGATTTTCTATGTAGTTGTACTAGAACAAAACTGCTAATATTTTATATTGAAGTACTTGAGTGGCTCTGATACAAAATCTGTTAACTGTAATTAAGTTAAAACAATTAGAACAAACCAATTTACAAAAAAGTTTAGGCTAAACTTTTCTAATAAAAATAGGAGAAAATAGAATGTTCATATTGAAGCTGTGGAAAAGCTTCATACAATTTATTTTACTAATTTCTTTTCAAAAATTTAAGTTTTCAAATTTTGCATCAAGTTTTTTTTTTTTTATCGAAATAAGACTAAAGATGTTGTATATTGTTGTATTTCGATGTTATAGCATTGAGTGTACTTGTAGGTTGGTGATCAGTAGCAAGCGGGGAAAGGAATCCCTCACTTAGTAAAATTATTTTATATTAAGTATTGCAACAGATTGAAACTTCCGGGACCACATTAAACTAAAAACTAAACTCAGCGGCGTGACAGCCCTAGAGGGCCAAGGCATACTGTGCCCATCTCAGTTTTCTTTACCTTGTGCTCTGGGGGTGCAGAAGCAGATGTTCCGGTCATGTGGTCAGCCGAACGCGGAACCCCCAGTGTTTAGTTCCCAAGCATGCTTGGTACTCATTTATCGACCCACTGAAGGGATGAAAAGCTGAGTCAACCTTGCCCGTACCGAGGATCGAACCAGGGACCTGTGGCACGACAGCGCGAAGCGCTACCGCTCAGCCACCGGCCGTCACATTAATTATGATATTTTTATGAAATAGATTTTATTCATAAGTTTTAAAAGACACCTTTACAAAATATGAAATTTACAACAAACATTTGCAAACAACATAAGGAAGCATTAAGCACACCATATAAATTAATAGTATCAGGATAAATCTTAAAAAATATACAGTAAAAGTATCACAATTTTAAATTTTCATTGTCAGTTTCAGTCAAAGTTTTCCTTTTTTGGGAAAAGGGTAGACCCGAACCGTTGTTTTCAGAGCTTGGATGACACTCAATATCAGGAGCTTTGCAAAATCCTGGATTCGATCCTGTTGTTCGAATATCGTTCAGAATTTTTTTCCCTTTTCGTTCCTGGACTATTTGCAAATGATGTTTGACATAAGATTCTTCTGGTTTTAAGGATGAAACGTGCAATAAACATTCTTCAGCAACGTCCAGTTCCCCCAGCTGGTAATGCGCTGCACATAAATTATGCATGGCCGGCACGTGATTTGGATCTTGTTTCAATATGAGTTTGTAACACTGAAATACAGAAATTTGAATTATTTGTAAAGATAATGAACTAAATGAAGAACTGAGTTAAAGTAAATTTGAAGTGACATTTGAGTGCTACCAAAATAGAGGCTAAATTTATTCAATTGTTTATTGCCAGATGAGCTTGAAACATTTTGTTACTTTGTGTCTTCACCCACTAAAATCTGAGAAGTTTAAATCATTGGCACAATCAGTGGGTGAGACGTGTAACGTGCTATATTTAGTGAGTTAAAAAAGTTCAATTAATTTTGGCCTCAGACTATCGAGATCTTTGTAAAAAAAAAATTAAAGTTCCTTTATAATGCTTTAACAATAAACTTTTATTTGTAATGGAAAATATTTTGTGGTGCTACGTGACAGTTTTTTTTTTAAAAAAAACTTTTTTTATTGAAATGGTATATACAAAATAGGTTTTGGAAAATTGAGAATCTGAGGTGCGCAATTCTAGCAGATCGGCTGAACCAGAATTTTCTAAGCTAACTGAAAATGTTGAATTGGAAATTATTGTTTGTCATTAGTTCAATCTGGTTTGATATTGTTTTTCTTACAGAATTGTTTGAACTATTGATAAAAGAAATATTATTACACCATGAATTATAATGTCACGCGGTAACTATTTAACCAAATTGTTCGGAAAGTCGGCAGTTTAACCACTGATTACACTTTAAAATTTCAAATAATTCGGAAAGCGCTTCACTGGCTCCAAGTCACAAAACTAGTCCACACTTTATTTATTTCTTAAAAGGATCAGAGAGTTAAAAGTGAGTTTGTGATTTATTACAGTAAGGAAACACAGGTATATATAGGTATGTACTATGCATAGAAGTACAGGTAAGTGAACACTCATTAAATATCAGAATAACATTTAGGTTTTAATACATTAGATAACATTCAGGTTAGACTAGTATCTTAGAGGTACGGAATACAATTTGTTTAAACATAGTGTTTCGTTGAAAATTAATAATTAGATATTTTTTGAACATATGCATTTCAGGGATATCTAAATGGCGTTTCCTAACATTTCTCTTCTTCTACAAATGCACTACAGCCTTTCACGGCCCGAGGTGGTCTGAATAAACTTTCTTCAACGGATTCTATCAAGCGCTATGGTCCACGTATGACAGGATTAAACAGTATCTACCATAATCACCTCTTTTATAACATATTCTTAGAATCATTGCAAAAGAGGATGAGAAAAAGTATACACATGAGGCCTCGAAAACTAATATATAAGAGAGGAAAAACACAAATAAAAGTGTAATCTATAGTCTGTCTATTGATAGAACTCCCATCGACATTTGTTTGAAGCAGTGGCGGTGACTATGGTTATGATTTTCAACTATTTAGTAGGGGTGTTGGGTCACTAACACAGGTTTTGGCTTGAGTCGGTGAGAGAAAAGGAATCAAGGGAGAGAGAAGCTCTCCTTTTTGAAATGCGCTATTTCTTGCTTCCATAGCAGCAGACGGTCTTGGACTTTGGGGTGAGGGGAGTTCTTTCTATCAACAAACAATACATTTTATGAATCACTGTTGAGAGAGGAGGGATTGAAGACACCAAAACCAGTTTGGTAGCTAGATGACCTCTTAACTCTTTTCTGTTTATTTCTTCCAGCAACCAAACAAGTTTTAATGTTTTTAGTCCCATCTTCCTTGTTAATTACTAATAAAGTTTTCCTTTCTTCTTTGCATTAATTTGAGGCTCTTATTGCGGAGTATTAGTACTTCCGGATCGGTAGTTATGCAAATGCTGCGCTTGTATAAAATAATTTCTGCTCAAATGAGGCCTTATTTTTTTTAGAACAGAATTTCTTAAATTTTTAACTATAAGTACAAACGTAAATCTAAATTTTAAAAATGTTTAGTTCAAAAATTACTACGTCAAATCAAAATTTATTGGAAAACAACATATGTTTGCCTATGCAGTATGAGAATGTAGAAATTTATGTAAATTATGATTAACCATATAGTGAACTAATTTCTGACAATTTTGAAACTCACTACGAGTACTTTTGGCTTTTGTTTATTATTCATATTCAAGTTTTAACAAAAAATAAACATCCATAGTAAAATAAAATAGATTTTAAGGTATATAAGAACGGTTTATTTACTTGTAAGGCAGCGGTGTAGTTTTTGAGATGGTTGAAGTAAATGTTTCCCAACAAGATCAATCCTTTAATATGTCTCTTGTCCAGTTTCTGTAAATATGCTAGAGCTTCGAAAGGTTGTCCTTTTTCGTAGAGGATAAGAGCAAGATTGAAGAGTGCAGCATCGAAATCGGATTTGAGCTATGAAAACAGTGGTAAATTTACTAAAATGTTGAAAAAGACAAAGCAAAATGGAAGTTAATTTATTTAGGCATATGCCTCTTTCAGGATGAAGCAAATATTACCATGCAGGTAAGAACCAGTGCTCTATATAATTTATTGGAGAGATTTCGCATAGCGTTTGTCTTTCGTTAACCGCAAGGCTAATTTTATTTTTTGAACATGGTGATTTGTAGGGTAATTTGCACGTATGCGCTGTGAAGCTCAAATAGCGTTAACTTTATAGTTAGGGAGAAATGTAACACTTCACAAAATTTCTCTATAAATAACTGATGTTTCGCAATAACTGCCCTTAATATTTATTTTTAGAATCTTTCAGAGGGAGGGATTAAAATCCACAAAAGCTACCATATTTGTCAAGTGAGACCAAAATGTATTCACTTTTTGTTAGAAACAACTTTCATGACTCATCTTCAAATAAATTGGTTTTAGATGATTTTAATACTTTCTTTGCCTTAACTGACCTTGGTGGTTGGCCATTACTTGAATATTAATAGCAATGTAATGTATTTCTATAATAACCCGTTGTGGGCCAGTAGGGTCATGGCAGTTAAGTTCCACAATATCATGACCAATGAAACGATGGTGGCAATGTTATCAGCATTGTACACGAACCACCTTTATATCTCAGATAAGCTGTTACCCATCAATCTGAAGCTGGGTCGACTTGGAAACATCACTGAAGATCTAACCCCTGTCCTTCACAAGGACAGCTCAGTGCCTTAATTACTATGCTATTTGAATATAAATCCGCAAATCCTAAAGAGCAGTTCTTACATACTTTTTCTAAAAATATACATTAAGAGCATTTATTGCAGATCATCTTATGTGGTAAATATAAAACAATTGAAATTAGAGACATTTTTCGAACACTAATTGAAGGAAATTACATGACATTAAGATCATTTAGTGTGGAGCATCCTATGGTAGTAAATATAAAAATATTGAAATTAACGACATTTTCTGGACACTAATTGAAGGAAATTACTTGACATTAAGAGCATTTAGTTTGGAGCATCTTATGTAGTAAATATAAAAATATTGAAATTAAAATTTTCCTTACATTGATTATATGACTAAATGATATGATATGAACTAAATTATATGACATTAAGAGCATTTATTTGGGAGCATCCTATGTTGTAAATACATACGTAGTATCAAAATATTGAAATTAAAGACATTTTCCCGACACAAGTTATATGACTAAAAGGTATAGAACTTTTTTTTTGGCTCTCCTTTATTTAATCAAACTGTGCCTTGTTTTTTAGTTTATAGAAATTTCGCACGTACTTAATTTGGTTTGAGCTCTAGATTATTTTGAATATTTTTTATTTGATTGCAGGCAAAATATCTGCTTTTTCTGATGAGAGAAAAACTGAGAATTTTTTTCCTTAAAAGTAATTTAGCATTTAAAAGTGCCAAGATCCTTCAAAATTTTATTTTAAGAGTTATATTTAAAGAGTATCGAATTTTGCTTTTTGAGGGATTTGGAGAAGTATATAAAGGGACAGATTGTAAATATTTTCGAGTAACAACAAGAAGTAGAATTACTTGTAAAGCTCTCTTGAAATAAAGTTCAGCTTTTGCTGCATCTCGATCTTGCATAGCCAGCATTCCCAGATTAAAATATGTTCTTTCGGGTTGTTGACCTTTGTCCAGCAAAACTTTTAACCTGGTAATTGTAATAAATAAAGAACAAATAAACAAATAAATAGATTTTGAAAATATATTTTAATTAAGGTCAAATAATTGTTAGGTTAAGTCGAAGAGTTAGCTGCTAGAAAATGTCATTTTCATTTTGATGTGCTTTGGATTATATATTTCATCATGTGGCACTAAGACATTTTTGATTGATTCTAGAAAGAATGTCTCGAAATACTGTTTGATTGATTAAGAAGACGGTCTCCCAAAACTATTTGATTGAATAAGAAGACGGTCTCGAAAGACTGTTTGATTGATTAAGAAGACTGTTTCGAAAGACTGTTTGATTGATTAAGAAGACCGTCTCGAAAGATTGTTTGACTGATTAAGAAGGCTGTCTCGAAAGACTGTTAGACTGATTAAGAAGACCGTCTCGAAAGATTGTTTGAATGACTAAGAAGGCTGTCTCGAAAGACTGTTAGACTGATTAAGAAGACTGTCTCGAAAGATTGTTTGACTGATTAAAAAGACTGTCTCGAAAGATTGTGTAATTGATTAAGAAGACTGTCTCGAAAGACTGTTTTGATTAAGAAGACTACCTCGAAGGACTGCTTGACTGATTGAGAAGATTATTTCAAAGACTGTTTGTCTGATTGATTAAGGACACAGATTAATTAAGAACACAGATTGATTAAGAACACAGATTGATTGATTAAGATTCTGATTGATTAAGATTCAAAATCTACAGAGAGACTCTACGATCACGGGATAAATTTGGAGGGGTAGTTGAACGGACTAAAATATGTATTTTTTCGAGGAAGGTAGGATCTAAATTGACGCGTTCAAGTACGAACGCAATAAATGACATAGTTGGAAAAATGCGCTTAGTTATAAAATCAGCACAAGGTGTTTGTTTGCATCAGTAAAGTATTCGAAGCAAATGTTCAAAATTGCGTCCACTAACTGTAATACAAAGAGCAACTGTGATTAGCTGGCTATGGAGGTAATTGTGATTGGCTGGCGATAGTAGTAATTATGATTGGTCGGTAATGGGCTGTAGCAGGAATGGTTTCTGAACAGGCCTAAGCTAATTTTAGAAAAGTCGAATCAGTCCCTGTGGGAAAGCGATTCATTTGCCACCAACTCTCATAGTAGGAGGGAAACAAGAACTGTATGACAACCTCGCATGGAAGATTCCATTTTGAACATTGTGGATAAAACATTCCGTACAAGTACAAGAGTTAATGCACCTTGTCTGCATGTGAGACAGCCCACTGTTTAGAGAGCATTGCATGAAAATAGTTTACACCTATACTATATGCAGAAAGTTCAAGCCTTTCAAGCTACAAATCCGCGCATTGATTTCTGTCGTCGGTTCTTGCTTTAGTGTTTGGAGCAGGAGGATTTATAAACGGATATTCTATTTACTGACTAGGTAGCTTTCACGTAGGAAGGCGTTTTTACCAAGCACAACAGTGACGTGTGGGCAACGGATAATCCACGCATAACACGTCCAAATCCATTTTTCTGTGAATGTGTTAAGAAGTACCTCTTAGGCCAATATCTCATACCTACAAAGCCTCACCTGGATCCCGTTAATGTATTTTTCTGCTTAGGGTTTTTCCAACATTTCCTTCAAATTCAAACGTGTTTCGTATTGTAATCTCCAAAGTATGTTTATTAAGTTGAAGTTAAATAGTTTTATTGAGTAATACAAGTTCTGAGACTAAAGAAATTAAAAAAAAAACTTAATTTTGCTAGTTTGTTGTCCTGTTAAACAGTGTAATGTTTAATATACAAAATAAATAGATTAAGTGACAAAATTAATTATATTAGTGACATTATTATATTAGTGATTTAATAATAGATTAAGTGACAAAAATTTATTATATTGAAGTCTCACAAGCAAATGTAATCAAGTTTGTAAAAATATAATTTATTTAAAATTTAGTAAACTTTTTTCATGAGATTCTACACGTATTTTTATTACGGATTATGCGTTGAGAAACATTTCTGGACACCCTTAGTATAGTGTTGCTGCTCAGTTCGATGCATATGTCGAAAGCTAATTGTTAAACTTGGCAAACTGTTGTCTTCAATTGAGTCAAAAAGACGTTGGCAGATTGCAAAGAGCAGAATTTTACTTTCAGCTTAAAGCATATAAAACAAATAGAAGGAGCGATTAATAATCGAAGGAATAGTATGTAATTAAAATTAAACATAAATTAATTTGATAATATGCATACCTTTCATGCGCTATTCTTCTTAATTCCGAGTCACCGGAATCTTGAATAAGAATGGCGTAATTCAAAAGAGATTTCTAAACAAATAAATCACAAAAGTATATTTGAGATTACAAAAGAATGGGATAGTAATATACTATATATAAGAGATATATATAAGGTAAGATATGTAGTTAACAAGATATATTGATAGTTAGTAGGATATATAAATAGTAAGATATGTAGATAGATAACTATTTTACATTATAACCGTCGTTGAACAGTCAACCCAATTCTTTGGGTTTACTACTACTAATGTTTAACTTGAAAGTTTTGAACCCAATCCGAAAGACAAGGGAACTCCTTGATCAAGTATTGGGAGAAATTTGCCTTCGCGGAGGCTTTTTTGGTGGAACTAACCCGCATTTGCGTTACATGGAGACGAAAACCACGAAAAGCTTCCACGGTTAACCTAACGGTACGGAGACTGTAACCCATGATCCATCTGCCACTGAGGATATTTTACGTCAACACTGTGGTCGGTGCGAATCGGGTGCGGAATTCGTATCGATCAGCCATCGCTAGGATTCGAACCCTGTTCACCTCAATGTAAGACGAACGCTCTATCCCCTAATCCACCATGGACCAATCAGAAGTATTTTATTTTATTTTATAATCCTCGTTGAACAGTCGACCCAATTTTCGGGTTTACGTCTTCTAATGTTCAACTACGTAGCCTTGTAATTTTGTACCCAATCCAGAAGATTAGGGAACTCCTGCTTCAAGTATTGGGAGAAATTTGCCTTCGTGGTGGACTTTTTGCCAAACTTATTACCAAAATAATTTTTTATTTTTTTTACCAGAAGTGTTATTACTATACAGTACAGTAATTTTGCCGTGAATTATATTAAGCAGGAAGAAAGATATTCTGAGTTTAGAAAGCACAATAAAAATAAAAATAAAATAATAAAATCATGATACAATTATTCGTTGTTGCATATGTATAAAATTATCTCTTGCTTACCTCATGCTCTGGGTCTATCTGCAACGCCTGATCAAAACGCGCTAATGCTTGTAATGATTTTCCTTGTTCCAAAAGTAAGACACCTATCTAAAAATTTGTTTTTTGTTAGCACATAGTTATTTTATAAGTCATTAATAAAACAAATTCTACAACGAGTTTCGATACTAATCGTTTTCAATTTGTTCCCGTTTGAGAAATTAACTTTAACTCTTATTATTCTTTAATCTCCAGTGATCAAAAACAGCTCTTCCGCATTGATTTTCAATGTTCTAAATATTTTAATTGTTTATGAAACTCGGATTTTTAATTTTTTAAAATTTCATTTAAAAAAGATAAAGATGTTTTTTTGTGAATAATAATTTTTTCGCAGAAATATAGTGAAACTATAAAATAAATCAAGAATGGTTTTTTCTTCTAATATTAAAAAGAATATTGATCCATATCTATTCGTACTAACTTCCCTAAAAAAACGTAATTATAGTTTACATTAAGATTAAATTGTTTTTAAATTTAAATTTGAAGCAATCATGTACTCCTTGTTAAATAATTCCAAATTGAAATAAAATTAATTCAACCCATAATAGTTTAGATAATTTATTATCAACTCATAATATTCATGATGAAATTTCCAATAAAGTTAACTGTGTTTTTCGAAAGCATCGCACGCTCTCCGTTAGAATGAAATATACAATCCTCACTAGAATTTGACTTCGCAATCTTTTGAACAAAAAATTATCAAAAATCAATTGTTTGAATGAGAAGTGCTTTTATTTTAGTTCGTTTTGTAAAATTTCTTAAAATGAATAGTGAGATTTTTAAGATGACAAGGACAAAATTATGTCTTTCTTCCTCTTGTTTTATTACATTTATAATTAAAAATACAGATATTCGAAGACTTACTAACGTTGTAAAATAGATCTGGGTTGAGCCTATCGTGCTTCAGGGCTTCGTGGTACATATCCTGAGCTTCTTCAGACCTGAAAGAAATAAAAAAAAAAGTTAAATGTATAAATTAGCTATTTTGTATTTGTAAAATGTTTGCAGAGGAATTCGAGAACAGATTTCTTTGGTGATGGACAAAATTAAAGACGACCTATATCTGGATCAAATAATACAAAACAGCGAAATTGTGTTAAAAGTAAAAATAAGTTCAATAACAAAAACAACTGTACTGTAACTGTGCTGTTTGTGTACTGTAATATAATTGCTTGGAAGCAGTGTCCTATAATGTGTTCCTCTTTGGCATTCTATTCTTAACATTGGTGTGTACTGGATAATTTTTAATACTGCTTTTAAATAGTACTCTACTGTTAGATGAATGTGACTCGAGAAGGTTTTACTGTTTCGCTTGAGATTACTCGACTCTTAGGTGAATGTGACTCGAAAATACTCTACTGTTCCGCATGAATGAGATTCACGAGGACACTACTGTTTTGCTCGTGACTACTTAACTGTTAGGTGAATAAAACTTGTGAGGACTCTATTGTTTTTCTCGTGATTACTCTACTGTTAGATGAATGTGACTCTAGAAGGGTTTACTGTTCCGCTTGAGATTACTCGACTGTTAGGTGAATGTGACTCGTAAATACTCTATTGTTCCATATGAATGTGATTCACGAGGACACTACTGTTTTGCTCGAGGCTAATTAATTGTTAGGTGAATGTGATTCGTGAGGTCTCTATTGTTTTTCTAGTGATTACTCTACCGTTAGATGAATGTGACTAGAGAAGGTTTTACTGTTTCGCTTGAAATTACTCAACTGTTAGGTGAATGCGACTCATAAATACTCTACTGTTCCACACATGATTACTGTTGCTTAAATGTGACTTGTGAAACTGTACTGTTCCGCTCATGATTACTCCACTGTAACGTGAATGTGATTCTCGAGGATTCAATTGTTTTTCTCGTGATTACATGAATGTCGCTGTTAGGTGAATGTGACTCGTGACGACTCGCACGTTATTACTCTACTGTTAGATGGATGCGACTCGTAAAAACTGCATTGCTACACTCGTGATTACTTTACTGTTAGGTGGATCCGTAAACGGTTTCATTAGGTAGTTCATAATCTGCTTATTTATACCCTATACACGATATTTTGATTGCAGCTCTTAGTTGAAAATTATTTAAATATATCCACACTTTCATCACCTTTTGGAAAAAGGTTGCATGGGATAGAATTAAATAATAAAAAACTATGAGCGTACTGGTTATATTGCCAATCATAGTAATAAAAAGTATTACCTGTTAAGTTTTAGTAGAACACTAGCTCTCTGCATATAGGCATCAATGTAATCACTCTTCATACTGATTGCTTCTTTGTAAAGCTACAAATTTAGATAAATTTTTTACTTTATATTTAATTACTAGCTTAAAGATTATAATAAATATATAATTATTAATTCTAACGCTGCTATGTAAATTTTATTAATTTTAATATAACAGTACAAATTAAATCAACTCATTTTAGTTGAGTATTTTATACATTCTTATGTTAAGAACACATTTAAAAAAGGATTTTAATCAAATTAAATCAACTCATTTTAGTTGAGTATTTTATACATTCTTATGTTAAGAACAAATTTTAAAAAAGGATTTTAATCAAATTAAATCAACTCATTTTAGTTGTATTTTATACATTCTTATGTTAAGAACAAATTTTAAAAAAGGATTTTAATCAAATTAAATCAACTCATTTTAGTTGAGTATTTTATACATTCTTATGTTAAGAACACATTTAAAAACGGATTTTAATCAAATTAAATCAACTCATTTTAGTTGAGTTTTTTATACATTCTTATGTTAAGAACACATTTAAAAACGGATTTTAATCAAATTAAATTTAGTTGAGTATTTTATACTTTCTTATGTTAAGAACACATTTAAAAACGGATTTTTAAAATAGAAATATAAATTTTATGTATTTATTAAAATTAGACTCCAAATTATTATTGCTCTGATTATTATTGAATTGAGCTCACAATAATTAGCAATTTCCTAGACTTACTTCTTGCGCTTCCTCTAATCTAGAAGTATTTTTGGAAAGAAGATTTCCCAAATTCAGGAATAAATCCAAATGACTCGGAACAATATGTGCTTTGTATGTCTTTCCAGGAGTTTTCTTCGGTAACAGATTCTTAGCCTAGAATATGATAGTAAAATATGTTTATTTCAGAAAATAAGTTGGGAACCAAGTAAAAGTTATAATGTCATTTGGCGGAACCCTTATGCCAAAATTCTCAGAATTCTCCATTCCTAAGTGATATCGCTATTGAAAACCTTTTAATCAATTCACTCTTATTCCGTTTAATTTTCAATTAATATGAGTGTTTTTTTAAAAGTTAAAAATACGCTTCCAATGCCTTTATTGTTTATACCAAATACTTTCAAAAGTTCGCCTAAAGGAGTATAAAAGTTTTAAGAAAACAGTATTTCTCCGTTTCAAGCGGAAATTCGTGTTAAGCGTTTTCGTTTTAATGAGGTTTGACTGCACATGAAAATCTGATTTGGAATTGTTATATAAATAAGAGAAATTTTCCAGTTTTCCGTTCGATTATTTGTCTATTAAACCGCCTATGATGAACAGTGGTAGTGGTTTTTTTATCCCGTTGATGAAAGTGCATCACGTGGTAACGAAATACGTCCAGCTTCGTCAAATATACTATTTGTAATTTTAAAAGTGTTCATATTTAATCATTATATTTTATAAATTTAATGATTGTACTACATGGAGTTACAACGTTAGATTTTTTTTATCTCAGAAAGAATCTAAATTTGTTTACCTTAAATAAATGTTTGATTATTTTAAAATAATATGTAATGCATCATAATATATAAGTGTTGGGAATAATGATTAACAGAGAATATCCGAGATCATTTGAAAATAATATGTAATGCATCATAATATATAAGTGTTGGGAATAATGATTAACAGAGAATATCCGAGATTCTCCTTTCTTTTAAGATTTTCAATCGAGTAAATATTCTCTAGGAGAGAATAGCTAATGTAGAGTTTATCAGAGAAAATATTGAGAGGAATTCCATGGGATCTTTTTCTTACCTGCCAAAAGGCTTGTTCTGCTTTCTCTGTGCTTCCTAGAGTATTATAAATTCTTCCTAAATTTAAATAAGAACCAATATCATCCGGTTGAATCCTGTAAAAATTAACACGACTTAAATTTATAAAATATACGAAATGAAATACTTAAGCTGTGAAGATGTTATACACGCCAATAAAGCATTGAACGTAAATTATATAATATTTTTGTATATTTACAATTAAAATGTAGTGAGATATTTCAATATTTAAGAGCACTTGAATAATAATTTTCTCCGGAATTATATATTACCCATACTTTCTTAAGCATTTTATCCGTATATGATAATGTATTTATATGTACCAAAAATTAAAATTTTCAATACTGATCTTAAATCTGTCCTACTGTATGGAACTGATTCATGGAACTGCAATAAAAATAACATAAAGAACTTTCTAAGAAGTTTAAAGCAAAACACGTTTTTTATTGGAACACTGAGGGCAATAGGAAAAGAGGAAGGCCAAAAAGTACTTGGAGCAGGATGATTATAAGTGAATGGAAAATAATAGGAAAGGCATGGAGGGAGGCAAAATATCTGGCCACAAATAGAGTGTGATGGAGAATTATGATGGAAGCCCTATGCTCTACTTCGAAGTGAAGAAGAATATGTGCATGTATGTAGGTATTTATATGTATAGTATATACCCATAATATTTAATTTGTGTTGAAAGAAACTACAAATATTATACACAGCCTATTCAGGGAACATGCACATAACACTTTATTCACATGTATAGCAGCTTTTAATACTTATTTATTCGTATGTATTTAACCGACAAACAATATTTTATTTAGACTCATTACACTTGCAAATAATACTTTATAAATCACGAAGCTCAAATTACATTAAATAAGTAGAATTAAATATTTCATTTTGCAATAATTTTAATAATGATTATTTATTTTTTAAAATAAAAAATTTTGCACTTTGTTTTAAGTGAAAAAAAATGTTTAAAGTACTGTTTTGAAAGATGTTTCAGAAATCTAATGGTTTTGTGTTAATAAATCTTTATAGTTTATGCTCATTTTTTTCGTATAAAGCTTATCACACTCTTTTTGCTGTATAAATATCAATAATTTGTTTCATAATTTCTATAATTTTTAAAAAATATTTTTAGAAAAAATTTAAATGTTAAATTTTTTTTATTTACACTTAAAAAATTATTATAAAAAAATTTAAATTACTTGATTAACTATATATGCAATCAAATTACAAATTAAAATTTCGTAAAAATTTAATAATTTGTATTAAATTTAGTGTATGAACATAATGCAAGCGTTATAGTTGCATGTTAAGATTAATTTAATAAAATTGTAGTCTGAATGCATTAGGAAGCGAAGAATATGAATCAGAGTTTAAAACAGTAATTATTTTGAACGAGTTAAATTTATTGCTCGCAAAAAGTTATTTCCTATACATTCTCATAATATTCAAGGTAGTGAAACTTACCGAACGGCTTGTTGGAACAGTTCTAGAGCCTCTGCGTGTTCCCCTTTACTTTCCATTACGTGACCCAAGTTATTGTAAAGTTTGGCATTCGCTTTTGTGAAACGCAATCCTGATTTGAATAGGGACTCTTCATCTTTCCTAGGGATTAAAACAAGTAATCGCATGAGGAACTTTGCCAAAGAATTTTAACTGAAACCAAGAATTGTTAATGTGCACTTACCAATCCAAATTTCTGATCACAGTTTTGATAAAATTAAGGCACAATAGTATCACGATGCAAGCATGCAGAAAAGTTGTACGCTTTCTGGAAGAGATAAAGTATCGTAATTATACAGGATGTTCCGTAACCGTCACATTTATAAATAGTTTTAGAATCCCCGTCAAAATGGAAAGCAAAAATGCATGCATTTAGGGTAGAAAACTAATATCGTGAGGAAAATACAAGAACCTTATCGAATTCTGCGGACTCATTAGAGAGGTAGGTAGTATGAAAAAAATTAAAATTAGTTCAATTTGCCAGATGAAATTCAAAGGTTGCAATTTCAGCTTTTCTGTTCCCTTCTGTTTCCTTCAGAAGTAAAACAGGTTTTGATGTTTTTAGTCCTGCTTTCCTCAATAATGTTTTTTTACGGATGTATATATCAGTTTGATAGCCTAATGAAATTCAAAAGTGTGTATAATTACAGCTTTTCTACCCCTCACTGTTTTATTTAACAGTAAAACAGGTCTTAATGTTTTTAGTCACGCTTTCCTCATTGATGATTCATGAGTTTTCAATCGTGTTTTTTTGACGTTTATATATTTAATTTTAGTATACTTTAGTGAATGCTTTTAGCTTTCAATGTGTATAATTTTAAGCTTTCATTATTGACAAGTGTAGTGTATCTACCACTACAAAAATAAAAATCCAATTCACTAGTATATAAGACATGTTAACTCGATTCTGTGGTGGGGTACCTTTTCAAAGACGAAGGTTGACATTGTCAATAACGACTCTCCTCACAACAAGGTAATCTAAATTTTGAAATTACGAGCACTTCTAAAACAGAAAAAGATGTAATTACCGATAAATGAGACATAGATTCTGCCACCCACATGCAACAAGAAAGCAGAATCCCATGCTTGGAAGATATAGAACTCTTTCTGCTATCACAAAGCCCACTGGATAGAAAAGATTTGACGCAGGTACGAAAGGAAATATACACATAGAAACACCCTAAATAAAGAAAAATAAACATAGTTTATGCAACAAACAAGTTACAATAAAACGTAGCAATATTAAACAAGTGTTAAAGTTTGTCTGACTCAATTTGTATCTTTATTACTTCTGGAATCGTTTTTACTTCGTTGTATGCTGTGCAATGACACCAGTCTATACTTCTTCGAATAACCCTAGTAATATACATGATAAAGTAAAAACTTCATTAGCTGATAAAAATATTTAAGTTGAAAAAGTCGACAAGCTTCAAGTGGTCAAAAATAGGGGCCCGTTATCAAGACCCGTTATCAGACCTTAATAAGGAAAATAAAACAGATTTGAAAAGAAAAAACATTAAGTTGCTAACAAAAATAAAATAAAATAAAAATAAAACTGGAAGGAAACTGCGGTAGTTGGGTGAGGCAAATCAGGGCAAAATGCATTACCAATCACTTGGAAATGCAACCTGCCTTCATTTATTTGTCCCAGCTGTCACGGATTTTTACTTATCTTTCCACGTCAGCGAATCTTCGCGCTTCAGTTTTTTAAAATTATTAATTTCGATTCAATAAATAAAAGATCAAATAAACCTATTTCTAGTTTGTAAAATCTGTAGTATCTTTTGTAGTTGTTTTTTTTATCATAATGTTGAAAACTGCATGGTTTGCATAATTTTCTACCTCTTAACGTGGTTTATGATTCAATGTTCATTCGCGTGTTGTTGACTTTTATCACACCTTGGAATTTGGAGCACCCTGTATAATAAGTCGTTAAGTTTTCTCTGATGACACTTGGACAAGTCAAACTCGCTCACCAACCATTGGCCATTTGTGCCTTTCGTTTGATAAGAGAGCACCGCAAGGGTAAAAGTGCGTCTTAGCTCAGAATCTTATTCATAGATGGCAGCACCACTCATTCATGAGGCCACTTCCTCAATTTAGACATAGATCTGAGGGGGTAGAAAATGTTCTCAAGATCCCTGTTCCCATGGTACCACTAAACGACCGATCACAGGACTTTCCATTCTACATATTTTACGAGCATGTATATCGCATGTACTCAATAGGTCCTAGCGGAGACGAAGATCAAACCTCAGCCCATCCGAACCGGTGGCTAATTTACAATCCAGTGGCCTTTAATGACTCACTCTCTTTTTTGGAGATTTTCCTCTTGGCTGTAGTTGGTCCCAAGCATAATAAAACTTTTTATTTCTTTTAAAATTTAATATCTGAATCTTAAAAGTGTCAGGAATCATTTTCTTGAATTAAAACAAAAAAAAAATGCTAGACAAGAAAGTGGGTCATTAAAAGCCGCTGGATTGGAAAATCGCAAATCGGAATTCGATTCTCTAGCCATTAGGCTCACACGACCCTAAATCATTTAGTAACTAAGTAATAAAAGTCGTACTGATTTAGTAGTTAAAAAATTTTCAAACTAACTGTAGTAGTAGAAATTGAGTTGATTCAGTCGAGAAATTGAGCTGTATAAATATAATAGATTATATAATAAAAATTAAACAAGAATTTTTTAGTTTATTAAGTTTTTAAACATAGTAAGCATTTAAATTTTCGAAAATTAAACTTACCAACATTAGTTTGGGAAAAATTCGGTTTTTTGAACAATAACATGTCCACACTAGTTTACATATCACAGTATAGAAGAATACAGTGGCAATGGCTCTTGAGTCCATGAAAGACACGACTAGTGGTATTGTTCCCATAGTCCAATCACAACAAAGATTCATTGGATAGAGTAATAGCCAAGTATTCAGTGGAATTAAATAGTGGTGTGTCAAATGGCGTGTTGGCCAGTTTTCAGTTGCCGCTGGATTGTCGAATCTGTATGATAGACCAGTACAGTTGAAGGTTAATTAAATAGTCTAGATCAGAGACCGTAATAAAATTCTATTGAATAGAATGTTTATAGGACAAGGAATCAAAATTATAATATCATTAATATTGCAAGTACACTATAATTTATAAAATAATTTATATAATATAATATCTATACCCATGCACGTAGGGGGCACGGAACTGGCCTTGCATTAGAAAGGTCCTGGGTTCGAATCCCGGGCAAGGCATGGATGTTTCTTTCTCTCTCTGCGTGTTCTATGTCCTTTCTCCTCTGTGCGTTTCGTCACCAATCCCGTGATTTCATGACGAGATGGTTCTCAAAATTAACGAAATACAGCTCTAAGTTTGCTGATTCGTCAAATTTGAAACCTTATTTCTGGGAGTGTGATTTTAAACTACAAACTAATGAGATTCCTATTTCAGTTGGGAAAAAATAATTTTAATAAATATAATTTTTTTAATACTTACTTATTAAAAACTGGTAACTTTGATCCCATGATCTGCATCCGCGCATATAAGAGAACAGCCGTGCCTATTACAAGTACGAGTAATCGGAGGACTAAGTCTTTTCTCCAAGTAGGGGTTGGACCTTTGATTTTGCCCTTTGGCGCTCTTTCTGGCATCAGTGGAGGAGGAACAGCCTGACAAAAAAATAATAAAATTGATGATTTTTCCTATGGAACATTAACCATTTGACGAAGAACATTTAATGAATATTTCTGATACTTTTTTCATTATTTTGTATTGGTTTAGGTAAAAAAAAGTGAAAAATATTGTTTTTAGCACTTTAATAATTTATAGTTATGAAATACAATATGAAACACCGGTGTATTTTTCTGCGTTAAAGATAAAATCTTCCAAACATGACTCACATCGAAACGATAATTTTTCAAATTCGAAGTTATTTAGATCTAAGATAAAACAGTTATTCATCATTGAAATTTCTTTATTTTACAAAAATTGATAAATTTTTGAATGTGAATGAAATTCTTTTTGTCAAAATTTTTTTTCTGGATTTTATATTTTAATACAGTGACTAAATTTGTACAATTTTTAATTGATTAACTTTGTCTTTTAAAATCTTCTTCCACATTCAAATTGTTGACATTTCTTAAAAAAAAATACATGAATTTATACATGAAAACTACAACAATATATATTTATATATGCTATTAAATTTGCAAGTAAATTAAAAATTTAATGCAGAAGATTTTGATCTTACATTTAGCTAAAGTCTGATTCTATCAATTATACGTATGTTTAGTATCACAATTTTTTGAAACTAATTTAAATATAATTCATCCAATGTTTTCATTTGAAATAGATATATGTGCTTGTTATAGAATATTTATTCAATAACGTTATAATGTTTATTTTCCTTTAGGAGACGGGGATTATTGCAATGAGAATAAATTTTTCTTTGTAATTTGATCAATAAAATTTTATTTTCAAGTATTCCAAAATTTTGCATTCATATTTGCAATTTTGCATTCATAAATGAATGACTTATTATAGTAAACAATATTTCATAAATAAATAAGTAAGAAAAATCATGGTGAGGCATACTTGTTGAATTAACAGGATATCGTAAGCTGCGCACACTGCAACTGTTGTTATACCTTGTTCTTTACTGAGCATGGCTAAGCCCACAAAAATAATGCAACACATCAGTGATCTATAATCTAAAAGATCAACAAAAATTATTAACAAAACAGATAAAGTTATTCACATATTTGGATTATCAAATACCATTGAAAAATAATCACTAAATAGAAGTATCATGAACTGATTGGACAGTTGTTAAACTGATTTCTACACTATCTTGTAATTTGATCAGATATTAGAGAGATTTTTCATCCCTTTCGGCTGGCTAATTTCTTCCTTTTAGTCAAATATATCACCACTGCACAAACAGCTCCTAATTCTGGTTAAACGGAGAGCTGAAGTTAACCGGACTGAGAAGAGTGCAATATTTTTAATCTGAATAATGCTCTAAAAGTACTCCAAAGAATACTATAAATGACTCAAATAACCACACTAAATAGATGGATTTATTTCGAAAAATTCTATAGAATAATTTAATGTGTTGAGTAAAAAGTTAAGGAAAAGTAAAAAGGTTTGGTGATGTTAAGGAAAGAACCCCAAATCTGATTACTAGTACAGAAGTGTCATGGCTTTCTTGGCTAAAAAAAATCTCTAACCCATGAAAGGTTAAATTGCTTTATAAAAACACAACATGTTATTCTCAAATGACAAAAAAGTAATCTCTAAAGTAATCTCTAAGCCATGAAAGGTTTAGTTTCTTTATGAAAACACAACATGTTGTTCTCAAATGATATGATAGGCAATATAAAGACAGAGTGAGAGGCCATGAATGTTTACTTGATCACAAGAGATATCATCATCTTAAAATAGTCGTGTAGTTGATAGGAATTCCATATTTGCATGAAATAGAATGAAAATTTAGAAAGCATCAAAATATTGTTATAGAGATGCCATTTGGTGCATTAGATGGTGAAAAGAAATATGCTGAACTGCCAGCTGGTGCTGTTATATGGAGGGAAAGCGTCTCAGGTTTGGATGTTTGTAGGTAAGTAGGTTTAAGTCGCATTAGATCTGTACAATGGGCTACTGGTGAAAGTCTGACAAGCATCTCTGAGGATGACCAGAAGACATGCCATCACAATTTTGATTCTCTGTGGAGGGGATGCGGATGTCTCCTCCGCTTTGGTTGCCAAACAACCTGTACGCGATGTCGAACAGTGGAACAGTTTAACGAGGACCGATACAGCACACCCTTGGTCCCTACGAAAGCTGATCAAAGTGGTCACCCACCTGCTTACTGATCGCAGCCAGTGACGCTTGACCTCGGTGTTCTACTGGGAACCGCGTCTTAACTATCAGTCCACTGCGGGACGTTAGGAAGTTTGAAAAAGAATGTGACGTAGGTGCATACACACACTGAAGTTTCGATTTGTAGAGAAGTGTCTTAGTTTTCTTGGATAGAGTGATGACTTCCCTTGAAAGTTGTTTGTTAAACATTGGAACAGGTGAAAGTTTAATTCAGTCTACTTGTTATGCTTTTTTCATAACCAAAAACCAGAGGTCTTATGTATTTACTACAACTTAATTTTTCAGTTTTTGCAATTTGTAATCGTTATTTAGTTTTTTTTTTTTGCAAAATAAAAATTTTAAGAAGAAATGATAGGTTTGTATTCAAATTTCTGCGGCAATGGCTTTTTTTCGACATACTTTTTTTTTCTTACATACTTACCCTCAAATAAGGTCACAAAATTCTTAATTATACAACTATAATTCATTTTGCAAATTATTTTCAAAATGATCTAATGATTTTTTTTATGATTATCACGATGTGTCTATTATTTATTAATTATGTGTTAATTATGGTAATATATTGCGATAATTTTTTTCTACACGATGAATGTCTTAGGCTCCATTATGATTATTACGATGTGCTTGTAACTCATTAATTATGTGTAAAATATGACAATATATTATGATAGTTATTCTTTTTTATTTCAATGTCTAAGGATTCCCTTAGGATTATTACGATTTGTTAATAGCTCGTTAATTTTGTGTTAATTATCATAGTATATTATGAGAGATATTCCTTTCCTATATGAATGTTTAAAGATTCCTTTATGATTATTATGATGTGCTTTTAGCTCATTAATTATGTGTTAATTATGGCACTATAATATGATAGTTATTGTTTTTTATTTCAATGTCTAAGGATTCCCTTATGATAATTACGATTTGTTAATAGCTCTTTAATTTTGTGTTAATTAAGATAATATATTATGATAGATATTCCTTTCTTATATGAATGTCTGAAAATTCCTTTATGATTATTATGATGTGCTTTTAACTCATTAATTATGCGTTAATTACGGCAATATATTATGATAGTCATTGTATTTTATTTCAGTGTCTAAGGATTCCCTTATGATTATTACGATTTGTTAATAACTCGTTAATTTTGTGTTAGTTATGATAATATAGTATGACAGATATTCCTTTCCTATATGAATGTCTAAAGATTCCTTTATGATTATTATGATGTGCTTTTAACTCATTAATTATGTGTTAATTATGGCAATATATTATAATAGTTATTGTTTTTTATTTCAATGTCTAAGGATTCCCTTATCATTATTACGATTTGTTAATTGCTCGTTAATTTTGTGTTAATTATAATAGTATGTTATGATAGATATTCCTTTCCTATATGAATGTCTAAAGATTTCTTTATGATTATTATGATGTGCTTTTAACTCATTAATTATGTGTTAATTATGGCAATATATTATGATAGTTATCGTTTTTTATTTCAATGTCTAAGGATTCCCTTATGATTATTACGATTTGTTAATAACTCGTTAATTTTGTGTTAATTATGATAATATATTGCGATACATATTCTTTCTTTATATGAATGTCTGAGGATTCCTTTAAGATCATTACGATGGGTTTATAATTCTTTATTTGAGTGTCAATTATAACAATTTATTACGACAGTTTTTGTTTTTAATCTGAATGTTTTAACGATTTATTTGTGATAAATACGATGTGCTTTATAGACATTAAACATAATAACATATTAATAGTTACATTTTTTCTTTCTTCTTCTTTTTTACCAAATCATTTTTATTTATCTCGTCTCGAACAAAGTTATAAAATTCCCGCATCGAGTCAATATCTCAAACGGCTGTTACAACTAAGCCCTTCATGTTACTTTAATAAAATACATTCCCTTATGACTATTGTGATTGCGTGAATTAGTGTTGCCATTTTGGCGATAGTAATGTATCCCTGTCGGTATCGAAAGCTATAATGTTGGGAAATGAATCCTAAAAAAAAGTATCCCGTTGGTGGCAATAAAACAAAATTTGATTTTCGGGATTTCGCTGGAGGGAAGTTAAATACATAAATGTTGTCATTTTTAGAGGTAGAATGAACGGAAATGAGTTGCCCGAGGTTGTTAAATGAAAGCAGCCCTGAATGGGCCACAAAATTGAATGTTGCCATAAATAAAAGGTAACAGCGCACACTTTATTGAACACGGATCTTAGTTACTGCAGGAGATTGATGGTTTAGGACAATTCGGAAATTTATGGCTAAGCTATGTTAAAGAAGATAATAAAATATGGTCTTAAAGTGAGCTGAAGTTTTGACTTAAAATAGTTTAGAAATTATTTAAAGTTTTCATGAATATTTTTATTTATTTATTTTTTGGCATACATAATTTTTGATTTAAAATTAAAAAATTTTTTTTTTTACAAATTTAAGTATTAAGGAGGAAATTTCTGCGTGTAGTTATCCCATTGACGCGCAAATTTTGGAAACTTGGTTTTGTTAAAAAGTGCCTTTTTAAGAAACATTTTTATAGAAATTAACAATGCATACTCAAGCTTAGCACTTTTTTTTTCCAGAAAGGAAATAAATGTCATTAATTCAAAAATGGCTTTTTTTTTTGAAAAATGTCGTTCTGAGTATTTTTAGAAAATGTTTATTACGTATCGCATGTAGATTTCTGAAAAAATTCCAGAAAAGCATCACATATTGAATAAATAAAACTTTTCGTAAGAATTATTAGAGCAATAGCCCGCTATTTACAATAGCAAAGAGCTAAGCTATGAAAAAAAACTTTAAATTCAGCTAAAGTAAAAGCTAAAATTGATTTTAGTATCGTAACAATTTTATCTATACTAGCCGTCTTTGGTGACCAGTTAGGACACATTTCAAAATTATATATATATATATATATAAAACGTTCATGTTACTTCAATGAAGAGGTGGGAAAACATTAAATTCTTAACATAGATTTGATAATTTTCTAGCATTTCTTGAATTAAATATTCGCCTCTGTTAAGTAAGCCATAAAAAGTTGGAGGTTGAAAAAAATTTCTTAAAAATGGTTTAGAAAAATAAATTTGGTTATGCAAAAAGAAATGAGATACTTCTTTATAATTTCCAGAGTTTAAATGAGTAAACTTATTATTCCAAATTAATAGTTTCTATTAATCTTAAACATCTTTGACTTTGCACACAAGAGTAAATTAAATCCTCCAGCAAAAAAAATTTCCTAAAAATAGCTGTAGTCTTAAGTTAGTTGCAGTTAACTACAAAAGAAATGTAGATTTTCCAACCACTGATACCAGTCATGCTTATTCGTTGGTCAAAAATAGAACTTCGTTAGGCNGTTCCTTTACTGGGTGTTCATTCACTGGTAAGAGCTGTTCCTTCACTTGGTCTTCTTACTACTTGTTATTTGAACCTCCAAAACTTTAAAACAATATTATGTAAGTTCTCTACAATTTTTTTACATAATTTGCAATTAGTAACAAATATGTTGACACTGTCATTTAACTAAAATTACGAATTATGAAATTAATATGATTTTTTAAAAGGCAAGCGAAGCTTAAGTGTTCCTTCTCTGGTTAGTTTACCCTATTCTAAAATATTTTCTTGCATAAAATTTTAAGAATTTAAAAGTGGAAATATTAAGAGTGGTAATTATTAAAAATGTAATATGTAAAGGTATAAAAACTTAAGATTCTGAAGAAATTGCAGATATTTTCAAATTCTTCGAGTTTAACGTAAATATCTATTCAAGTCTATAAATGCTATAACCTTGTGAAGTCGAAAACTGAAAAGGCAACTAAAAATATCGAAGAAGAAGGATTGAAACAGAGAAGTCTATTAAACTTTACCGTTTTCTCCTGAAGGGGATCTCGATCGAGAATATGATCGAAAAGCTAGAAGGAAAAATATGGATGATAGGAGCTCTGCTCGGCCAACGACGCCAGTCACCTGGAAAATAAGATCACTTATTTGAACAGAATAAAAGAGAATATTTGTTGGCAACTTACATTTATCGTTTTTTGAATTTCTAAAGGCAAATATCGAATATCTGAATTAGATAATAGAAAACAATAGCGAATATATTGCAGTGCATCTTTTACATCATGCATTATAGTTATGTAATGATTCTTTCATATATATCTTTAGATTTTTTGTCGAAAATGGAATAAAAGAAATATGCACTTTAGGGGCACAAATTAATATTTTAGCAGGGAACAAAACAAAACAAAACAAAACAAATGAAAACAAATAAAAACAAAACAAAACAAAACAAAACAAAACAAAACAAAACAAAACAAAACAAAACAAAAACGCTTTTAAAATCTAATGATTCACCACCGAGAAGAGCGGGACTGAAATTTTCAAAAATTGTTTGATTGCCGACAAATAGCAAAGAGAAGCTGAAAGACAGATATTCAAAACCATCCAGGCATGAAATGCTATCTATATTGTATATTACATAGCATTTTTGTTTTTTTCTCCTGACTTTGTTATTAATTTGCAGCTTTTAAAGTGTAAACTTTTTTGACTTCATATTTTGATTACGAATATAAAAATTACTGAGGGTAGCCATTATGTATTAAATGGGAAAAATTGACAAAATTTAATAAGTATTATATACATATTATTTTAATTCTAGATTTAATTTGGTTTTTCAAACTAAAATAATACTTTGCCATTGATAGCCCATTATTAATTTCTATTAAGCTATGATAAACATTTTAATAAATACTGAAAGGACGCTTAAAGACTGCTAATTTAAAGAACATGGAAAATCTTTCCAAGTTATTGCCTATTTCTTATCAAAATTTGAAAAGTATTAAGTGGGAAGGTATGTTTTCTAAACAAGCTATACTGCTGTATTTAAGGGCGTAATTTTAAATGAAACGAAAAAAAAATCTATCGAATAATCAGCATTATTTTAATTTACTTACCGCCTCAGTGTGAATTGGATGAAGACCAAACAACATTGCAGCAATAAAACTTGCACTTTTAGATAAAAATTCACAACAAAACCTAAAATAAACCAAAAATTATTTATTGCTATTCCTATAACGAAATTGATACTTTAGATTAGTATTTCGTGAATGTTATAGATTTTTAAAAATAAAAACTTCTATCCCATTTTGAACGGTTTTTAGATTAAATACGCAGTTCTTAAAACAAATTCCTGCACTATTTATTTAATGTTTTTTGATCTTTTCGTCAAGACACGATTCCCAGTAGATCGCCAAAGTCAAGCATCACTGGCAGCGGTTAGTGTGCGGGTAGGTAACCATTTTGATAAGTCTGCGCAGGGACCGAGGGTAGGCGGTATTGGTCCTCGTTAAACTGTACCTATCGTGAAGTGCATGACTTTGCTCGCAGGTCGTTGGGCTACTAAAGCGAGGGAGCTATCCTCTCCGTAGCGGATCAAAATTCTGATGACATACCTTAGGATCATCCTCAGGGATGTTTCCCAGACCGTCACCAATAGCTCATTGAATAGCTCTAGTGCGTCGTAAATAAAGTACTAATACTACTTGAATAAATCATACAAAATAGCGAAGGATTTGAATTTAAAATAAGTTTGTAAATCTTTGCTATTGTACTAAACCTTCTTAATTTAACCGTGAACAACCGGGCGAAAATTCAAATTTCGTAATAATTCTTATCCTTAAAATTTTATAATAATTCATGAACTTATAATATAATTGCTTCAATTTTATTAAATAATGTACTTTCCCCATATTCATTTAAAACTGTATAACTACATAATTTTTTGTTACATTTCTGTAGTTTTTAAATGTAATTTCGCTAAATATCATAATATTAAAAAAAAAATAATAATTTAATTACGCATTATTAGAAGCATTTTTAAACCTCTACATATCATTTTCCTCCAACAAATTTACAATTTCAATAATAAATTATTGTAATACTTGCTATAACTTTTGTTTTCTTTGCAAGAAAGAGGATTACAATCTAATTTTATAATTCAAAATTACAATTTCCATAGCTATTGTATATATGATAAACTGAGCTTTAAATCATTACAACTCTTTCCTTATACGTGTATGTCCCCCCCAAAAGTCTCTTATTTATCCTGTTGTAAGAAAATATGTAAATTTATTAGAAGAAAATGAATGAAATCCAGCTTTTTAAATTTGCTTAAATTATTACTTAACACATTTATTTATTATTTCATAAATTAATTCATGTTTGTTACTCAAAAAGTCGTTTTAAGAAAATATACCAATTTAAATGTAAAATTTTTGAGCAAACGATTCTTAAATACAGCATTTTTTCACAACAGTTTCGAAATCTTCATTAATTCATAAATTAATTCATGTTTGTTACTCAAAAAGTTGTTTTAAGAAAATATACCAATTTAAATGTAAAATTTTTGAGCAAACGACTCTTAAATACAGCATTTTTTCACAACAGTTTCGAAATCTTCATTAATTCATAAATTAATTCATGTTTGTTACTCAAAAAGTCGTTTTAAGAAAATATGCCATTTTAAATGTAAAATTTTTGAGCAAACGATTCTTAACAGCATTTTTTGACAACAATTTCGAAGTCTTAATCTTTATAGATTTGAACAAAACCTTTATTAGATTAAAGAAAACCGTTTCCGAAATTTTTTTTATTTAATTTTTAAAGGTGATTCCGTCAGTAAATTAGTTTTATGATAATTTACTAATTAATCAAAGAAGTTTTCCGAGGAGAGGATTATATCCAAACAAATTTCTGATAATTAACGTTAATTCCATTGTTCATTAATGCGTAATAGAATTCATCCTCATTCATTGTTGCCAACACAAAACAAAGAACTATTTACCACCGAGCATTAATAGCTGCGTTTATGTTCAGTGCTAAATAGCATTTAATTTCAATTCATCCCTTTCTTTTTGTTGATATATATGTTCTCATTTCCTGCATTTACCGCAGCTTTAAATGTCAGAGAACATTTTAGATGTTTTCTAGCAAGGGTTTTATTGTTGCCTCGAACATCTTTTTCTACGCCTGCTAATTCTGATTTGCTGCATCAGGAAGTACGTGCTTTGTAATAGAAAGTAATCATGGTTTTTGTAATGTTGTTGGCTTGATCGGCGCAATATATTTCGGGAGCTGCAGTTTTATTCAACTTGGATAATTAGTGAGCTTTTTTTTTTACTATGTGCAAGTTCTTTATTTAGGAGTTCTGCGCGATGTAGCTATAATTAAAGATTATGAATTTTTAATACCCATTTTTGACATATTATAACTTAAAATGGTAAAAAGCTTTTTATCAGCATGGTAAAGAATTTGTTTTTGGTAAAGTTAGTAAGAAGGTTAAAAAAGGTAAAGACAAAATTAATTTTTATGTTAAAATTCGCATACAAACCGATCAAAATTCGAATATTTTAAGATAGATTAATTTGAAATTTATGTTCTACAATTTAAAAACGTGATTCCGAAATAAATTTGATTTTTAGTTAAATATTTCAAAATTTAAAAAAAGTATTCTTTTAAAGCAAGATTTTGAATACATTGTTGATGGTCGAAAAATAACAAGTACAATCGACAAAAGTAACTTTTGTTTCGTTAAAAAAATTTGATTTGGCTGATATTGGCAGAGAAATTGAGAAAATATTTTTTCTCAAAGAGAAAATAGCGAAATAATGTCAATTTATAGCTTAATTTCTTTTATTTATCCACACCCCCATTTATTTTGTCATTGGTAAGACAAAATAAATGGTTTAATAAATGGTAATGGTAAAATAAATGGTAAGGCAAAATAAAGATTTTGGAAATAAATTTAGGAAAAATATTTTAGTATTATATGATATTTTAGTTAAAATATTTCATAGATTTCTCTAAAACACTTGGCTCTCGCTGAAGACCATATATACCCTTTTAATTTTTGAACGGCTGCAGCTATAGATGTGAAAATGGAAAAGCAACTTAAATATTTTAAAAGTCATGAAACTTTCTTTTAAATTGCTTATTTTGAGAAATTTTTCTACTTAGAAGAAAATATCAAACTTTTTGAAGCATTTTTGAAATCCCAGATAATGTAGTAGTGGAGTGACTCATTGCATTTTATTTTATATTATTTTATAACCACCTATGGACAGCTGACTCAATTTTAAGTTTATGACTACCGATGTTCGACTTCACAGCTTTGTGATTTTGAACCTAATCCAAGGAAACTCCTGGATCTGGGAGAAATTTGCCTTCGTGGAGAACTAACTAAACTGTATTTGCGTTACACGCCGATAAAAACCACGAAAACCTCCCAACGTTAGGCTGAAGGCAAGGAAACTCTAACCCATGATCCGTCTACCACTGAGGATATTTTACGTCAGTACTGTGGTCGGTGCGAGCCGGGTGCGGAATTCATATCGACCAGTCATCGCTAGGATTCGAATCCAAGTCGCACCATCGCATGAGCTATCATGGTTTTAAGTCACTGCATTGAAAAAACAGATAAAAAACGTTTTTTATTTTCCATAAACTGTGGCGTTTCTTCATATTGGAGCTTTGCTCCATTTTCAGAAATAATATTAAGGGTACTGGTTAAGGATAGGCTTAACTTAACCTTACAGTCACGAATAGGAGCTTCAAACTCTTAGCAGTTATGGATGGAAAGAGCATATTATTAGCAAAAAAACGTTATTTCATGTAAGGACAGAGCTTCCAAAAGCAGCCTTAATGCTAAGATAAGATCGCTTAAAACGCGTATTTGTTTGTTCAGAATTCCTTGCATTGTGAATAACAATCTCAGGAAGGGGAAAAGCAATTAGTTATTGCTATCTTTATTTTTAATTTTCAATACATATTAAACTTTATACATCAAAAATCACGTCATACTGTAGGTAATTTCAAGCAAACAAATGCGCGTTTTAAGCTTTTTTATTTTAAGATTAATGTCTATAAGTGTCTATTCAAACTATATCCATGTAAGTTAACAACTCTGTTTATTTTATTTTGATGTATCGCTCTTTTTAATTTTTCCCCCATACCGTTTTCGTTAACTTCACTCTCTTCCACCAAGTGGCGCTGTAAGCAGTCTCATTTTGTTGTGCGTAGCCACTTTATTTCACCTAAATACTATTCTAATGACTATAGCTGTAGCCATTTTATACTTAAGAGGATTACGAACATTGGCGTTTTTTAACTTTTGTCTGACGTAAATTAGACAAATTACGGTAAGAAAAACGCACTAGAATTTTGTCAAATAGTTACGTTTTTTCTTTAAAATGAATTCTTAAAAGCATACAGTTTGTAAAATATGCTTTCTTGTTTTAAGTTCATTGCAAAAAAGTTAGTTTAATTTTATTATGTGGAAAAAGAAAAAAGTGAAAAAAGAGATCGAAAGTTCGAATTACTCTTGATTCAATAATTAGATTTATACATATTGAAATGCAGCGCAACTTTTTTTGAAATAAATATACCTTTTAATATAGCGGATTTTGATCTTTCATCGCGGAGATATGGTGTTAAAGGAGTAGCAATATCAAAGAAATGGTTACCTGTGATAAAGAAGGGAAACAACTACATGGAGTGCAACATTTGTAAAATGGTATCCAAAAGGATTGAGTTCGTGAAGCCAATAGTTCAATCGAAATGTAAACACGCATAATGGACGATATGATTTGTGACTTTCTTCCTAAATATAAAAAGAAAAAGAAAGAACATCAGTTTTATTTTGAAAGAATAATACTTAATGACGTTTCATTATGACGTCACAGAGACGCAATTTTCAAGGTTTCTTTTTACCCCAGTCACAATAGAGCCTGTCGTATTTAAAATTCCCTCGTATTTATTCCCTTAATTCACTTTTATTTAAAAATAATCTTTAGTTGTTACAGATGAATAACACATCTCTGTATTTTAGTTGAATAAAACCTCATCCATTTCCTTTATATGACTATTTTTTACTCTTTCAACCAATTTTTATTTATTTTATAACTGATGCTGAACAGTCGACCCAAATCTGAGTTTACGACTATCAATCTTCACCTTAGTAACCTTGTAATTTTTAACTTAACCCAGAAAACAAAAACTCTTAGATCAAGCATTGGGACAAACTTGGAACAAAGTATTGGGACTTCGTTGAGGACTTTTTGATGTAACTAATCCGAATTTCTGTTTCATGGAGAGGAAAGCGACGACGGTTAGCCCGACAGCAAGAGGATTCCAACCCTCTACCGCCAAGAATATTTTACACCAGTACTGTGGTCAGTGCGAGCCGGAAGAAAACTTCGTAATAACAACCACATATTGTAACAAGATATTTAACATCCTTGTAACAAGCCAATATCCAAGGCAAAGGACAACCTCCGAAAGTTCTTTGCGTGAAAAGATCAATTTAAAGCTTCACATAAGATTCTCTCTGAATTTTGAATTGCATAAAATCTCTTTATTTTTGTCTCTCTTCAAAATGAAAAGAAAGAAGTGGTGATATTGTAAATTTTTTTTTATCAATTTCACTTGATAAAAATCATCATTAGTTGACTTACAAATGCTGCGCATTGTATCATAGCATGTTTAATGTGGCGAACTTAATAAAATAGATCATCTCTACATTACAAAAAAATTCCAAACACATCAGTAAAATCTATTTTACAGTAAATCCATTTTTAGTGTAAAATTTTATACCGTAATTTTTGCAGTAATAATTACTTAACACTAGATTGCCTAAGGAAGTCATTTTGACTGCTTTTAATTTCAATTAGAAAAACAATGATGTATACAATGACACGATTTCTTAGAATTTTGTGACTTTTTGAACAACATATAATTTTTTTATTGTTAATATCTACTAATAACTTGTTACATAACTGTAAATAATATAAAAAATCTTGAAAATTAATTTTAAGCAAATTTATTGACACATTCACAATCTAGTCATTTTGACTGCTTTTCGGCAATGTAGGTATATACTAATTTTCCGTCTTTCTAGTGTTAATTACAGTGATTCAATGATTATACAGTAAATATTACTTTAAAAATTATGTTATTATATATCAGATTTTTTTCTTCCGTAAAATTTTACGGTTAAACTAAATCTCTTGATAAAATGTACCGGCACACTGAGTGCCGGTATTTTTTACCGTAATTTAATCTGAAAAACGGGAAAAATGTAAAAATGTTGAAATACTGAAACCAAACTATAATTTACTTTAAATGCAAAGTAAAATTGTATTTTGTCTTCATTAACACTCGACACGCTCGAAGAAAAATACTTCCAAACATTTCATAAAATAAAAATAAAATAACCAAACGATTTAAAAAAACTTCAAGACTTTGATTAAAAATAATAAATGAAAACGATAAAATTTTCGTCCAACTAGCAGTCAAGTAATATGATAGAAGGAGAAAATAATGTTTTAGGGAATAACTACATCATTAGGTACAGTGGAAGATTTAATATTTAAAAAGATAAAGTTTCATTTTCTGGATTCAAAGAAATATGCCATTTTTATAATATTTTATTTTCTGCGGAAAATATCGCTGTGAAGAAAAAAATTCGATATTCTAATAATCTTCCATTCTATTACTTTGTTAGGTTTTAAATTTTTCTTTTGCTGTTAACATTTGTCAAGACACATTGTTAAAATGCGAGGGAGTCAAAATTCCTTTTTTTCTGCGTCAAATTTACGACTGAACTTCACAAAAATATTGTTTTAAGAGTTTTTGTATCTTCTAAAATGCATTCCAGAATGACGTTTATGGTAATTTATGATGGCCGAAAAGTATTTTATAAGTCGCGCTTACTTTTCTTATTCGAGTTAAACTATATTGCAAAATCGTTTTCTTTTAACACCTCTCTGCAAAGCTTCCTGAATTTTTGGAAAATGTCGTTAAATGGAAACAAAATGCTCAGGAACTGTTAAAAAAAATCGTTTGCTTGTTTAGATTGTGTGGCATAAATTTTACAGGATCATATTTATTCCAAAATATTTTCTTACATAACAGTTTAAGCGTTTGAAAACTTCTGATACTTTTAAAAATAATATAGAATAAATATTTTTCTTTAAGGTATCCAACTGGGGAAAATCGGCAAATTTGACGAAAATTTCGATTTTTTTAAACTTTTGATACTTGAATTAGCTTTCTAAATCCCTTTAAATTTAGAATGAGTGTTATGATTTCTAATGATTTTATACGTACATAATAAGTTATTTTTGTAGTATTTTTTGATAATTATATACTGCACTTTTAGAAGAACGTTGAAAATTTCTTTACTTTCATGCGCATAGCTTCATTTATCTTAAAAATTAGCTTGCTGCAATGATGCCAAATGGCGTTGTGCGTTCTGCCTGGGGTTTGGGCTTGGCGTTAAAAGTTTGAATTTGAAAAATTATTATCGGCCAAAGATGGAAAGTTTGAATTACAAACATTTTATTACAAAATTCTTTGATCTCTTACTGAATTTTATTATGCGTTTTATATATAATACATTTTACATGTAATGCATTTTATGTATAATACATTTTATGTATAATACATTTTATTATAGAATTCTTTGAATTCTTAAATTTTGTATAATGTTAACTACGTTTTCAACTAAAAGCCATGTTCTGAAAAGTGAGAATTCATTATTTTTAGAACATGCTTTAAGTAAGAATGTTTAGAATTTTTCTTTTAAAAATCAACATTGCACGATATATTTAATTCTATTCCATTGTTTTTTTTTTCAAATTTTTTGAGACTTTAGTTTAAAACACAGGTAATCATATTGTTGATAGAGAAAAAAATATTTGGATATTTAAGCATTACAATTTGTTGTAAAGATGTCAGCGAGACATAAAAAATTTGTAATTTTCATGCTCAAATTTGCCCTAATTTTGAAAGAATTTTTTTTGTTTAAAGTTTACTTTAAATTTCTTATTTTAAGACCCCTCCTTACCTGAAATAAAATTAAAAATTTAATTTTGGCCGAATCCAGTCAGATACTATTTAGTGCATTTGGTAAAATTTTTTTGCGCTTTAATATACCTCAGAGAAATTTAGAAAATGGTTTAAAGTTTTTTGCTAAAAACAAGATTTAGTTTTACCGAAAATTTGGTGAAATATTATTTGTGTTTCCTATTCAATCATGTTAAGTGATATGAAATAATAGGTCTAATACGGAATTTATGTCTAAAATACGGAATTTATGTCAAGAAAGAAAGCTTCGAATAATTTTTAGTTATTTTCGAATTTCTTCCCATAAACAATAAAATTTTTTATTTTATGCATTATTAGTTTATCATTAATATCAATATGATAGAATAAGAAAATTGTGTTTTGGGTTGCATCGAAATTTTCACAACACATTGAATCATGTAAACGTATCAGGGGCGTTTATAAAAACTGTCTAACCTTTTTTGACAGTTGTTTAAACAGCAAAATTTGTAACAGTTTTTATTTCTTACACTACAGTTTTCAACTTACCACTTTAATTTTGAAAAAATATGAAGAGTAAACATATAACTTTAATTGAGGATGTGGTTCAAATTTTTCTGCCATGCAAAGAGTTGATATTTACACTGAGAAAAAAGCATGGTCAAAATTACTAAAATTAGGTAAAATTTACCGTGTTTCTGATTCGATAAAAACACCAGAAAGCTCAGTAATTTTTACCGAAACGCACTGGTAATGATTTGGGTCAAATTAACAATGAAATATGGTTTTATATCTAGTCGTAAAATTTGGTAAATGTGGTAAAATTTGGTTATTTCTATCATGATACTTTAGAGCATGACATAAAAACCATTTATTCGGTTGAATTTATTTTTCAGTTTTGGTAATTTTTAACAAATGTATGGTTTAAATATCGTATATTTTAGTTTTATTAACCAAAATTCTGCTTTTTTTTTAAAAAGCAAAAATGCCTTCCCCATACAGTTCGGTCCAGAATTTTTTCTCCGTTTAAAAAAAAAATCTTTTACTCTCTAGATATATAAAAATATACCTTTTTACATATTTCATTTTCTGCGAACAATAGTACAATAAGAAAAAAAAATCGATTTTTAAATTTTCTTTCATTCTATAACTTTGTTGGGTTTAAAATATTTCTTCTACTCTTAAAACTTGTCGAGACGTATTGTTAGAATGCGAACTGGTTGAAATTCTTTTTTTTCATCAAACTTACAATAAAATTTCACGACAATATTGCTTTGGGAGTTTTTGAATCTTTCAAAATAGCATTATGTAGTGACGTTTATGGTAATTCATGATGCTTTTAAAAGTACTTTATAAGCTGCGTTAACTTTTCTCACCAGAGTTAAACCATATCGCAATATCGTTTTCTTTCAACTCTTTTCTGTGAACAGAGTTCTCAGCAGTTTTAGAAAATGTTATTAAATAGAACTTTATAATGCAACGAAATGTTTTGTTGCGACTGCAAAATCGTTTACTTGTTTAGATTGGATCGCATAAATTTTAAAGGATCTTATTTATTTCAAAATATTCTCTTTTCAAAAATTTTTTAAGAGTTCGAAATGTTTTTACGTTTTTAAAAGTAACTTAGAATAAATGTAATGCAGAGTTCTCCTTTGAGAAAGATGCAGATTACTTTTGCAGGTTTTTATTCTTTATTAGTAATAATGTTATAGAATAATATAGAATATAGAATAATATGGAATATAGAATAATATAGAATATGGAATAATATAGAAT